TTATCGAAGCGATCGTCATATTTGGCCCTGATAAAGGACGTTTATTGTTCATCATCCTTTATATTTTATTAGTTTAAGTAATATACTATAAAAGGTATAAGACATATATGCCTAGACAAGTGTGCGTGCCTGTGTTTGGAAAAATTAGCCGTTAAAACGTTGCCTCGGGTATACCACGTAGAGGTTTTTTCCTTGTACCCGAGTGAGTAACCTCCTACTCATTGAGGATCTTTTAACACACATTTTTACAAAGAATATAACTAGCTTCATACTATAAAATTAAACTGACTTGAAAATTAATTTATAGTTGTCTATTTTTGTTTTGACAATGCCAATTTTCTCGATTTTATGCCTTTTTCTTATTTATTTTCGGGCATTTTTTATCTACTCTCATTGTAAATGTAGCCATCGATAAAATGCATTTTCACTGACAATTCAGCTATTTAAGCTGTTGAGACATTTATTGACATTTATTGATTTTCGATCTTGATATTTTTGATCATGGATATTCTAACATGTATTTATCTTTAATAACTTTTTACCTAACATAACATGTATGAGTATAATTTTGAACCCCTCCCTTGGATGATTCCTGCAAACTGACCTGCCTACTGCTCATGTACCAACAGAATAAAATGTAAATATCGAAAATTTTATTTAATGATTGCCAGAACGTTGTTGTGGATGAGAAACTATATATATTTAATTTTTCCAAAATATTGAAAACATGTGTTGTCATTCCGGTAACTAGTTGTATCTGGGAAAGAACGTTTTCGAAACCAAGCTTAATCAAAACAAAGATATTATGTAAAATTACATAAAAACGTTTAGATAACCACTTAGTAATATTTATAGAATAAGGATTAATATACGAACATTTAGTTTACACATAGTTTACGAGAGATGGGAACCAGAACATATTTTCCATAGTCTTGACTATTAATGTATACTAGTATCTTAGATATTAAATTTATAAACATTGGTATTTGATGTGTCCCGACGAACATTTCTATTTAATATATATATATATATATATATATATATATAACAAACATCTGTGAAGCATTTCACTCCAAATTTAATTCAATGTTCTATTCAAACCAACCCAATATTTTTTTACTTATTAAAGTCCTAAAGAATTTTCAATGTAATATTTATATTAAAACTAGAAGTAATATCAATGACGACTCATGCAAAAAATTATATACGTAGTAGGATCAAAAAATTCCCGGAATTTATTTATAGAAAAAAATCTATATTTCTTATCAAATATCTGATTATTGGAATTAAAAGTAGACATTATTAGCTATCTATAGGTTTAGTCGTTAAAAGTACATTAGTCTCATGTGAGTCGTAATTGAGTCCATACGAAACTGTTTACGCATTTTTTCAAAATGTCGCAATTTGAACAACGCGCCGCATTCCTAAATCATCTTTTAATTAAAATGTTTTGAACTGAACCATACGATATTCCTAATATATTTACCATATCTTGAATGTGTAAACGACGATCTGATTGCACCAAGTTTTTAACTTTTTCGATTGTTTCATCGTTTTTTGAAGTTGACGGCCGGCCACTCCGCTCTTCGTCTTCAAGTGACTCTTGGCCATTTTTGAACCGTTTAAACCAATCATAAACGACTGTTTTCTTTAATGTTTCATCACCATTAACTGTTTTCAAGCATTCGAGCGTTTCTGCGGCAGTTTTTCCAAGTTTAAAACAAAATTTAATGTTAGCGCGTTGTTCAAATTGTGACATTTTGAAAAAATGTGTAAACACAGTTTCGTATGGACTCAATTACGGCTCACATGAGACTAATGTACTTTTAACAACTAAACCTATATATAGCTAATAATGTCTACTTTTCATTCCAATAATCAGATATTTGATAAGAAATATAGTTTTTTTTCTATAAATAAATTCCGGGAACTTTTTGATCCTACTACGTATTAGTCAAAAATTAAATGCATATAAAAATGGATAAATTTCTAGATTTGAACTTATAAAAACACTATTATTTACATTCTTGCTGAGTATGTAATTATTTTTACATTTTATTTATTTTAATTTTAAATATGAAAATATGATGTTTTATTTCATTTTTTTTTTCAAAATTTACTTGTTAAATGTGTGTATATATCTGTTACTGTATTAGACAAATGTCTTGATTTTCATTTTTAATGCTTTTATTTCATCATTATGTCATTCACAAATATCAATTTGTGTAAACAACTTAAACCTATACATTTTTATTCTTCAGGATATATTTTGTGTAATTCAAATAATTTACCGGATACAATTCTTGTAACCCGAAAAAATTTATTGGTCATAACTCCGTATTTCGAACATTCCTTGTTTACATCCAATATTGTTTCAAAAAACAATTCTGAAGAAAATAGGTCAGGTGAAACAGTTTGTACTTTTAAATTTAGAAAAAATCTATTCATTAACACTTGTAGATCATTTCATTTTAAAAACTTTTAAAAACATCTTAAAATTAAATGTCAGTATAATAGTAATTGGTTTAAAAACACCATTAAGACATTGAATTTGTATCAAATTTCTTTTGTTTTACAGAACAAATAAGTAATATGGCATAAACAATTATGAACAATAATTTTCTTTTTTTTTAAACTAATAAAATTTTAATTAATAATTGGTCATTTGACCATGATATTAAAGCTGACAAAATAAAATTCGAACTATTGAATGCAAATTTGCTATATGTAAGTTTTAAGATGGAGACGGCACACGAAGATTTACAAATAAAGTAAATAATTATTTTCTACAAATCCATTTTAAAGAACAATATGACAAAAATATATTCTTTGTTCATGAATTAAATTCCAAATATATATTTCGACGAGAAATGTTTGACATTGCATAATTGCATTTTTTTGTTTAAAAACGTTTTGAGTACTAAAATTCAATATACCTGACAGAGCTATTACAACAGTAAAACGAAACGTTATTCGCATTCTTGTTTAGTACATACATAGGTATCTAATATTATTTTTTACGAGAGCAATATTAAAAAAAATACAATATTACAGCGTAATTGGTGTTTGCATATATTCGTTTACTCATTTATTGCATATAATTTTCAATATTTTTTTCAATTTACGTTGAAAAATGTTTATTTGGTTTAGGAACTGATTCTTCGAATAACTTTTTTTTTCAAATTCTCAAACAAATTTACTAATCCTGCTCTTTTGATATTGACAACATTAAAAGTATTCGTGATCATTGATCTATCCCTTAAAGTATAGAGGGCAGTGCAGAGTTGGACATTAATCGAATAAAAAATTATTCGATTGATTATTTGAATAAAAACATATTCTTTATTCATTTATTTTTCATTTGATTATTCTAGATTATTTTTATTCATAATTTTAATTTTTACAATTATTCGTTATTCAACTAGTTATTCTAGATTTTTTTATTCATTATATTTTTATTCATAATTATTCATAGTCGTTTTTATCTTAAATGATTCATAAATAATTTAAAATTCTAACTTTATTGAAAATTGATACCGGAATGTTTCTTTTTTATTGTTATATTATCTGCTATCGAAAATATCAAAAGCAAAAATCATAAATAATATTTTTATCCATGAGGGGCTAATCCAACTGGTTTAGGTATAGGGGGAATTGCCGTTTAACAAATTTTAAAACTACTTGAATTCTATTTATTTTGCAAGATTGAAAAATGTTTTGCTCATTAATCAATATTTCCAGTTTTACATTTTAGATTCTGAGTGAAACGATGAATATGTTGATTTTACCATCATGCGTGTTTGTTTTGTGTCTGTGTTCTCAATGTCGATCAAAAGAAGTGCTCCGATAATCATCAAATAAAAAGTAAAAAATAGCAAATAGGTTCTAATTGATATTTTAGAGAGGTTGTTTTATTGAAATTCTCAACAGTTTTTTTAATAATTGCGAAAAACTAAAGAAAAATTATAAGTATACAGAAAAATTTACGGCATTAATGTCTTGAATAAATTCAAATTTATGTTTTCATTGTACTTTAAATGTACCTTTCATTGTACCTTTATTGTAACTTAAAAAATAATAATCGTATAGACATGCAATTTTTACTAATTGCATCACCATTTCCTATAAATAGTATAGATAGTATGATTTTTCAAATATATATATATTTTTTGAGCTATTTACATAAAATTTAATTGTTCATGATTTTTTAGCATATTTCGAAAATGTTGGCAAAATAATTTTGGTATGACAAACATTCTTAAAACTATAATGCCAAATTTCTCATATATATATGTTCCTCTAGCTTATTATTACCGATTAAGAAAAAAATTGAGATTAATTCCATAAAAATATTTACGGTTTTTTAAATATTAAATTTTGATTAAACAATTCGCTGCAATTTCATAGTCAAAAATTCATAGAATTTTCTATTTTTATATTTAAGGCTTGAAAATTGGACACAAGATTTTTCTCATCATTTTTTTTTGCAGCCATGAAAAAAACTGGGAAATAGCAAAAATGATTAATAAGTAAAATTAAATGTTGATGAAATTGGATATAAAAATATTTTTTATTTAGTAAAAGATATTTGATAGCTTTGAATAATTTTAATGAAGTTTCTGCTATTTATAGCCACTTGAAATTTTCGATTTTCCCAAATTTTAGATGCCATTTTTTGCGAAAGTTAGAACATCAAAAGTACAATCTACCTTATTAAGAATTTTAGTTCTTTTAATACCTATATCATAATTTAATGTATCCATCTAAAATTTTTAATCTTCCAAATCAATTTTCGAATGTGTTGATATATCAATCATCATGATTATAATATTAAATAATATAAATAATTATTGATTAATTGTCGGTATAAAGGCAAAATCTATAAACGAACGTTATTGTACTGGCCAACTATGTTACTTCCGAATATTTTTAAAATAAATAGATGTAGATAGTTTAAATATAATAGTAATATTCAAAATAAGTATATGTAACATACGTACATAGAACAATTTTCACGATGACGACACTCCGACAGAAGTCATAAACGTATGCATTGAATGTGTAAATTATATGATTACATACAATTTGAGAAATTCCTTCTAATCTCAAATTTCATTATATTCTCTAAACTAATTAAGTAGTCACAAGAATAGCTGTATAAGTGCACGCTTAAAATTTTTTTTAAAAAAAATTGATTTACTAATTAAAATGTAATACACAGTACAAGACAATGTGTGTATATATTTAGTTAAGTGACAAGAGAAAGGTAATGTCTGCAATGTCTCATATGTTAACGAAATATGTTGATAACTTACTTTTAGCTATTATTTAGCCGGCGTCACTGGTTGATTATAATCTCTATATATTTATTAATAGCATAAAATAGATTAAATTATATTCTGTGGTAATAGTACACTATAGTAATAGTAATAGTTTTGAATTAACAATTAACAATAAAAAAAAAATTGGTACCTACTCTATTTTTTTCGTTCAATTTCTCCTTTACGGACTATGTATATTCAGTCTAATTAAGTAGGTATTATCTTGGTAGTTTATCAAGCCAATGTCATAGTATGCAGTGACTATTTCTTTAATCTAACATTCTGTACATTCAATAACTAAGTTTTTTGAATAATTTAAAAATATTTTCAACTCTCATTTCAATTTACTGACGTATATTTTTCGCGAATTAGTTAAGATTTCTTGATAATAATAATACCTTCATATACTAATTTAATAATAACTATCTGATCTACCCTCTTTTATTAACAATATTATTAATGTCATCTAATACCTAATAACTTTTCGCTCAAAAAGTCTACCGCTAGTTTAGTTATTTTTACAATTTTCTCACTAATTCATATGAAAATTCCTAAAGTTAAAGAATTGATGAGTTTGAATTTACATTGATGTCTAAAAATTATTTGGTACAATCAACCATTCTATCTTAATCTAGCAACTTAAACTTCAAGGTGTTACTTAATTAGGGATCTAATTGCTTGCCGATTACCTAAAGCAGTGGTTCTCAACCTGGAGGGCACCTCTCCCTAAGGAGATGTAAAAATTTTTCAAAAGCAACTAAAAAGCATTATTTAAATACTTTGCTTAGGGTTTGAAATATGTTTGCTACGCTACTGCTCACTGTTGATCACTTTTTCAGCATAAAATAATCTTAACTTTGATGTTTTCTGATTTCTTACTAATTATAAAAAAAAGACCATCTTTATCAGCAAATAAATTATAATTCAAAAACAATTACAGTACAATTTTTTTTATTATATATATACATAATATATAACTTACATAATTTTTATATCTAAAAAGACAATGATTTGAATATAATTGGATATAAATAATCAACGAAACGTTATCATTATCATTAGGTAAGTATAAAAGTAAGGCAATATTAATTTTTTAAGTCTTAATAATGAGTAAGGTGATATTAAATGTTTGTAATATTTTTAATATAGTCTTAATATCCAATAATAACTTTATTACATTAAAACTATCAAAAAATGTAGTAATTTTAAATGTCCATGTTTAAACCGAAAGTGCTTAACTTTTTTTGAAAATGTTGTCAAGTATGAAAAAAAAATGTCTTTGATACCTATTCATGGGACGAGTGATTACATTTTTTTTGTTTTGGATATGATTGACACAAAAAAGTTTGGAAACAGCTAATGTAGGATATATTATGCTATTTTTAAATATAATTACTTTATGTAATATAAATATTGTATTTATTTTTGCCTACATTGTATTAAAAAAATGGTATTATGTTGACTAATACCTTTCACATAACTGTAATTTTAATTATTTACTTATTTATTAAGAATTTATGGGCTGAGCCCTTTATAATTAAAATATATATGTGCAGAAAAGATATTACAATTATTATATGATGATAGTTAATAAAAACAAAAGAAGTACATTATAAGTGTGTGTAAAATTAAAAAACAAGAAAGTTAAAGGTGGGGTCCGTATTGGCTTGCGACATTAAACGTCTTAAAGGTTCATTTTGCATGTAATTGGTGGAACTAAAGGGTATATGAAACATAGCATTAGAACGGGTGGAACTTTAAACGCATCTAGGGCAAGTAAAGAAGGAGAATCAATAACACCAGTCAGTAGATTTTTTAAAAATTTATTACCAAAGAAATTATATAACATAAGTGTAAAATAGTCCTAAGACATTCTCATTTATTCATATAATTAAATAAAAAGTATTACAATTTTCAAATACCTAATAAATTTATTTATTGCATTTTTATTAATCATAAATTATTATAATAATGTATTTATTTTTTTACTATAAATATTTATATTGTAGCCAGATAATTGTCTTCACTTTCTTTTATATTATTTCAAAAACATAGTTTGATTTCTTTTTAAAATTGTGTTTTGCTAAAATAATGATAGAAGTTTTATAAGCAATCTCTGTTCAAGGATATCTTCAGTAATATAAAAAGCTAGGGATATTTCTGTATTGAGTGTCGCTTACATCAGGGCACCATATATATTTGGGGGTATATTGATTTTATATACTAGGACCGTATTTTTCACCTTTCAAATCAATTTATTGAATTAAAAGAATTAACTAAGAACTTTGATTTTTTTTGCAACCAATATCACTTAAAAATATATTTAAAATTGAATCATTATTTGTCCAAATTTATAAAAATGATATAAATTTAGATTTAACTTAGAAATTACTTTCAATTAAAGCATTGATTTATACTTCTGAAGTAATAAGTATTAAACAATTGATAGAATACATTTTAATTATTGTACATCATATTGAAATAATTTAAGTGTTTTTTAATTTATCTTTTATTTATTACATGTAACAGTTACTTCATGTAAAATGGCATTATCTAAATTGAAGCTCAAAAAAATTACCCAAGAAATTCAATTCAATTAAGTATTTAACTTTCAAAAATAATAAAATAAACATTTTTTACATTTACAAACTTAAGATTTATTTTAACATATAATCATTAAATTTATTAAAAATACGAACACACCAATATCTGAATATTTTTATTTCTTAAAAATGTACTGAACACTAAATATAAACATTCGCATACATAAATTAATTTATAGCAAGTGCATCCATTTCTTGAGTGAATTGTGTTTGGAGATTAGACAATTTATTTTTAAGAGCTGCAACTCCCATTAAGACAATATTTTCAGGCTTTAATGATCCACAGCTTTCAACATTAAAAAAAAACTTATTTGGTTTAGCTCTCCAATTGTATTGTCCTTCATGTTGATCTTCATTCAGTTCTGAATATTCACTCTTTGGCCATTCATCTGGTTTCGGAAACAGTGTATGTCGCATAGTATTATCTGGATCATATTCAAAACTTACACCAGTAGTTGGGTTCCATTTAGCATGCTCTTTTCCAAATCCTTTTTTAGCAAATGCTCTTATTTTCAATTCTTGTCCTTTGCGCAGTTTCACAATAAGGATATCATCTTTTTCTCCATATTCATTAATATCACTGTCTTGGTTCCTAGAAGTAACAGGTACTACACGTGGATTATTACTCACCAAATCAGCAGTAGTCACATGTCTGGTCATTTCTTCTGAACATTTGACATTTAGGTTGAATTCAACACTGCAATCATGACAGAAATCTGAACAAGTGCAATCTCTAGAGTACTGGAGGCGGTCAACAACCTCATCTGATGTCAATGGTATGAGACCAATGCGGGATGCTATAAACTCATCACTTAATACTGTGGAATTTGAGTCCAACTGTACCCAATCAATAGCTAATGTTGGAGTTTCAGCGATGAACACTCTGCGTAAACTATTGGCAACACTAAGATCAGTATCTTCAATTTGAAATTTAATAGAGTCAGTAGTCAGTTCAGATATGTGCACCGACGGTTGATTAGCGTAAGGCATGATTATTAGTTAAATTTTTTATTACTTTAAAAAAAGCATAACACAAGTGAGTATCAAAAATGTTTTTCGTTATTTTTGTATCTTGTGATATCAACAATCAAAATATTTTTCGTAATCCAAACAACTAAATAGAAAAATGTGTAAATATTTTTTATAGGTTATGTTTTCAATGGTCTATAAATGAGCACCGTATCACATTGTGATTAGAACTGAGCACTAGATCGTAAGGGTTTCAATTAATTAAATCATAAATACATGATTTACATTAATTTCTGATTTTGCTAAATTAAGTTCATAATCATTTACGTTTTATAAAATTGTAGTTATGGGGAAGTTAAACGTCGCTATGCTTCGTTATTTAACTCGTGAAGACTTTAGAGTTTTAACTGCTGTAAGTATTAAAAACTATACTGTGCTTATAGTTATTTAAAAACAAATAATAATAATTTTTATTTTGTTGTATTTACCAGATCGAAATGGGAATGAAAAACCATGAATTAGTTCCAGCCACATTGGCTGCTTCAATTGCAAATCTACATCATGGTGGTGTACACAAAATATTAAAAGAATTATGTAAACATAGATTGTTATCATATGAAAGAGGAAAACATTGTAAGGATTTTATTTATAAAAAATACAATTTTATGCGATAAATGATTATTAATCACAATAATTGATAAATAATTTATAATATTAATTAAGAAGGAAATTTAATTTAATTTATATTAAAAATATGATTGAGATTAGTAAAACTATCATTATTACAAATATATTTAGTAACTAATTTTAATTTATATTTTTAAATTTTATACTAAAAAGTATTCAAAATGAATAATATATTTTTGTATCTTTGGTTAATTAATTTAAAATAAAATAAGTTTAATATTTAGCTTAAGAGTTAAAATAAAAATAAAGTAAAATTTTTAGTAATCCCTTATTTTTACTAAAATATTTGTCATTGATCAATTTATTATATGTCAATAATCAGTGACAGCTCATTATGTAATGGTGCACAGGAGTACGTGAAATGCCCAAAAAAAATATTAGATTCCTGTAATAAATTATTACTGGTTATTATGCACATAGTCAATAATTAACAAAAATATGTATAAAAAAAAAGTTTTTGCAGCTTTTGTGCTGAGAAGTATGTCTATTAGCGATTAACTAATTAGCGGAGCACAAATCCATTGTGCTCAAGGCAACTGTATATAAATTAGCTATATGTGTAGACAAATTGTTTTGTAATATATGATTATTTAAAGCACAATTAATGTGTGCACCGTACTTAGTTTTATCATTCTGCGTGTATCGTGTTAATCGTTGAAACAAGATTTTGAGTTAATGTTTCATACATAATAAGTTATTTTTTAAAATTTATATTAATTTTACCGTGATGAAGATCTTATAGAGCTTTAAAAATTAATTGTAGATAAATATGTTATGCGTACTTATATCTATAGCAAAATTAATAATTTTTTACCCGCCTACATAAGCTCTTACAAATTATTTGTATACCACCGTATGTGAACTTTAGGAATTGCCACTATTAATCATTAAATCATAAATAAATAATATTAAAGTATTAAGTAGTTAACATTTCATTTTTGTTATTTAGATGATGGTTATAGATTAACAAATACTGGTTATGACTATTTGGCACTTAAAACTCTTACCTCTCGCCAATTGATATCATCATTTGGTAATCAAATTGGTGTTGGTAAAGAATCAAACATTTATGTGGTTGCTGATTCTGATGATAAACCAATTTGTTTAAAATTACATAGGTAGTTTGGTATATTATATTTATGGATAATAATTAAGGTTCGGAACTTGTTGCATTTGCATATTCTTTAATAATGACTAAAATAATCTGAGTAAGATATAAATTTGTTTTAATACAACAAATTTAATTGCATATTTTTGAAATTTAATTGTTATTAAATACATATTTACTAATTTTTATGTAAAGTAAATTAATTTTGATAATAAACTTTTTTTAAAATACTAAACCTTATTTTTATCGTAGGAGAAGAACACAAAGAAAATCATACAGAGATCATACAGAGTAATAAAAAATGGCTACATTTAAAATTTAATAAATCTAATTAAAAAAAAAAATGAATTACTATTATAAAAAAATGTAGTTGCATATATTGGTTATATAAGTACAAATGTACATAGATATTTCCTACAATTTATGTGCAATAAGTCCCGAACCCTAGTAATAATTATTTAAAACTTAAATATACATTACTGATCGACTTTGTAGGTTGGGAAGAACATGTTTTCGTAATTTAAAAGAGAAACGGGATTATCATGGACGTCGCCACAAGGCAGGTTGGCTGTATTTGTCTCGGATTTCAGCTACAAAAGAGTATGCTTATATGGTAGCATTATCAAAAAGAGATTTTCCTGTTCCAAAACCTATTGATGTTAATCGGCATTGTGTACTTATGGAATTAGTTGATGGACATCCTCTGTATTTTCAACATTTTATTTTATATCTTGGTTTTATTTAAACAGTATTACTATTATTAAAATTATTTAGATGTCGCCTATATGAAGTTGAAAGTGTAGAAAATTTATATGATGATCTAATGAATCTTATTGTTCGTTTTGCTCAACATGGAGTTATACATGGTGATTTTAATGAATTCAACATAATGATAAACAATGAAGAAAAACCAATAGTGATTGATTTCCCACAAATGATGTCTTTTTCTCATCCAAATGCTGAAATGTAAATATAAGTATAATTTAATTACTTATATCAATGATTTTTATAATTTGATATTTTAATTATTTATTTTATTTAGGTATTTTGATCGGGATGTCAACTGTATTAGAGAGTTTTTCAAAAAAAGGTTCAACTATGAAAGTCATTTATATCCAACATTTGAAGATGTTGTGTAAGTGATATTTAAATTATATTAAGAACTATTCCAAATATTTTTTCGAAATCTAAATAAAATAATCTATGTATTCAATTAAATTACAAACTAAAAAGTAACTAGATGCTTTATTTATGAAAAATACAATTTATATCTAAAAAATAAAATCTACTAACTTAAATATTGAATACATATTAATTTTAATAATATGGCAACTTACATTTTAAAGTTAAAAAATAATGGAATAGTTCTTAGAGTATTATATTTTAATTTTTGTTGGAACATAATATATTCAATTTATTCTCAATAGTCGGGAAGAATTTTTAGATGTAGAAGTATCAGCTAGTGGCTTTACAAAAAATATGGACCAGTTATTATTACATGAAATTGGTATGATCAATAATATAGAAGAAGGATGTGATGAAGAAAGTGATTTTTATGATAGTGAAAAAGAAGAAGTGGAGCATTTAGCAAAAAGAGTGGATGAACTTATGAATGAAGAATCTTCTACTGTTCTTGGAAACTCAAGTGTTCCACATTCTCAAGAAAAATTTGATAATTTAAAATCAGATTCTGAAGAATATATATCATTGAGTGATAATGATGATAATGAAAGTATTGCTTCTTCAAAAGTATGCTATTCGGATATACATAGTGTTCGAAGCATGTCTACAACTACTACTATACCGCCAGAGGTGATTAGAGACAGAGTAAAAAAATCATTGGAAAAAAGAGAAAGAGCTAAAGTAAGACATAGGAATCTTGCTAAAGGTGAAGCTAGTGCTGTAAATCGCCAAAGAAGAGAAAATAAAGATATCATAAAAGATAGTTTTGGAATCTGGGGTTAACTTTTCAATATTTTACCATTTATTTTTTAAAATAGTATTAATAAAAATATATTTTTTTTTTTTGTCAAAACATTGTTTTTTTTTCAATTACAAAGAATAGGGGCAATGTTGGTGTAGAGGTCATGCAATTGACATAAATGCAAGTGATTATTAGTTCAATTCCTTGCATGTAGCAAAAATTATTCTGGTGACCTTGTCCATCATCTTCTATATGTTGTTGTTCAAAATACAATTTCCCCATTTAGTACCTACTTTGCTGAGAGTAATATCTTTATATATATCTACCAGTAAAGAGGTAGAAAAACCTGTGATAATAACCATTAATAAAAACATAGGATTGTTATTTCAATGGTATATTTTTAAGAAATTTTAAAGGTAAATTCAATTAAAATTTCAATTAAAACTGTATTCAAAGTATATTACATCAATGTTCAATATTCAAGAATATAAAATTCAAATTCAAAATTAAATGTTGCAAAGAATATTAATAAAAATATTAATTTTCTTAAAAGTAGCACAAACATTTAATGATATATATATATATATATATATATATATATATATATATATATATATATCAATAAAATTAATTCTTACAGTAAATACTTATAATTTTGATCTTTTTTATAATAAATATCTTTTAAAATTGTCATTTATAATTAGTTAATCAAAATATTACAAATTAAAACAACCTTAAACTGTAATTTTTCTTATTTATTCATGGGAAATTTAAAAATACAATGAAAATATTTTTATATAATATAATATGTATATATGAAATATTTGTTTTAAAATTAATAACAATATTTATGATAAAAATCTGATATTAATAAAATATTATTGGTTATAAACTGAAAGCTGTTCAAAATACTAACAAATAATTATTATTAATTATTTTAATTAATGTAATATCATTATTAATTAGCTTAAATAAAAAAAAAAAGAGATCTAATTTGGAAATATTTTAACCTAAGGTTGTTTTATTACATAGTTAATTTTATTTAAATAGTAATATTTTGAATATTAATTATAGGGATTTTTAAGGACTTAGGTGAATAATTGTCAATTTAATCATATGAAAAATTAATTTCGGAAATCTAAAGAACTATAAGAGCTAAAGTAGGTACTTTAAATCTACATTTTTAATTATACAATCTATTTTAAAAACAAATCAATTACTATCAATAACTTTATGTAAAGATGCAAACTTAATAATAATACATGTCAAAATGTTTACAAAAATTACAATTTTGTTCAATGATGGATAATATTTAATTTATACAATATTTATGTCTATAATTATATTTTAAAAAATCTCAATAATTGTACAGCATTTTAAAACATTTTACTTATTACAATATTAAATGCTTTATAATTAAGTAAGAGAAGTACAAAATTAAATTTGTGACTAAAGTACAGTTGAACCTCAAAAATTCAAAACTAACTCTTATGAAATGATAGACAATACAGTATTTTATTCTTACATATTTGATAACTATAAGTTTGTATTGTCTGAACTTAAAACTATTAAGTAAAAGTATTTCGGGTGATCTAATAAGTATGCTTCTTATTTAAAGTGCTATCACTGTGGTAAAATAACAGGAACACATAACACATGACAATAATGTCAGTATGCTAAGAATAAATCACATAATAAATACATAAACCCATATAAAATTCATGTATACACATTAAATGACATATATTATCCATCTAATAATATTTGTTAACATTTTAGTATAATTAAATTGCATAATTTTGTTTTTATTTAAACAACACTGAATTTTCATTTTTCTCACCAGGATTAAACTACTAATAAAAATACTGTCTTACAGTTTGAATAGTCATCCTACATATGATTTAATATGTATAACAATGGCAAGATTATAATTAATTTTGATAAGTTTATATTTAAAATTTGCTTGATTATACATTTTTTATTGTGCGATTAAAACATTGGAACAACTATCTTACAGGAAGTGGCATACCTAACCTAACCTGCATTTGGGGACATGTTTAAAATTTATGACTTGAACAAAAATTTAGTACATCACTCTTTATAGACTATAATAATAAAATACTTTTACCCGTGGGTTGTATCATCTTCAACAAAATCATGAGCATCCTCTCTGGTAACACATTCCACATGACTGACTTTATTACGGAACTTAACACCATAAAATTTATGCGCATGTTGCAGCAGTTCTGGTCTAAATGTTGTAGTAATGAATTGCGCTTCTGAAGACATTTCATGTATCATATCAGCAACAGCTTTCCTGTGTTGAGGATCTAATGCTTGATCAATTTCATCAAATAAATAGAATGGAGCTGGATCACATTTTTGAATAGCAAATATTAAACCTAATGCTACAAGAGATTTTTGACCACCAGAAAGTTGATTCATTTCTCGCATTTCACCTCCTTGTCCTACAAATGACACTTTGATCATTACACCTGAATAATTGCCAACACTAGTCTCATCTTTCATATTAATCTTTGTTGACTCTTCACCTCCAACAGTTTTCATGACAAGTTTAGCATGACCAGCAGGAACAAGTTTGGAAAAAACGTATGAAAAATATTTTGAAACTTGTTTAAATGTAGACTGTATTGCATCACATTTTCGCTGCTCTAGGACTCTCATTAATTGTTCTATTTTGTCATAACCACGGTCAAGTTCTTGTTTTCTAGAGACAAGTTTTTCTTTTTGTTCTGAAAAATTTATAAACTGATCCAATGCTTTTTTGTTAACATGACTGAACCGTTTTAAATGACTATTGGCTTTTTCTAGCTCTTTAAAAAGATTTTTTGATGAATACGACATATATTTGGTAACCAAATCTGTATTGGGTAAAGCTCCAAGTTCATTAATTTTAGATTCTGATTCTTCTAATTTCTTACGCAACATATCTTGTTTAGAAGATACTTTACAGAGATCTTTAGTTTCATTTTCCAGTCTATCTTGAGCTTCTTTTTCTTGAACCTTCCATTTATCCAATTCTTCTTGACATTTTTTTTGCCTCTTAACAGCTTCATGCACTTTTACATCAATATTTTTCATGTCTACATTAATTGTATCTAATTTTTTTTCAATGGCATTTAGTTCTAACCGGCTACTTTCTAATGTACGTTTGCGTTCTTCAACAGATATTTCTTGTAATGCTTGTAATAATTCATCTCTACGACGAATCAAATTGTTAGTTAAAAGATTTTCCAATTTATTTTTGTCTGCTTCTAATTTCATACGTATTGAAAATGCCGTTTTATTCTCTAATGTTAGTTGTTTTATGTCATTATTAAGTTTATCCATTTCTTTTTGATCTGTTACAGATAATTGTGCCATAAGTTCTTGATGCAGTTCTGATTCAAGTCCAGACCTTGTAGTTTGCATCGCTTCTAAATTTGAAGAAGCTGTTACAAGTAGCCGTTCTTTTGTCACTCGATATCTTTCGATTCCAACCATTTCTTCTTTAATAAGCCTAATATCACCTTTTAATTTGTCAAAATTTCCTTTGGCTTTACTGTTTTTGGTTTCAGTTTTTTGCATATCTGCCATAACTACATTAACATTTCCTTCAACTTCGTTTAATTGTGTTCTTAGTACAGTTAACTGCTCTTCAGATTCTTTTATTTGAGCCATTAAATCATTACGCTGTTTTTGAATTTCTAATTTAGATCGGACATTTTTAAAATAACCTCCAGTAAGGGTACCACTTGATGATACCTGATCTCCATCAATTGTAATACAATCTAACATACTTTGTTTAGATATACTTGTAGCAATTTCTAGATTACGACATATCAAAGTTTTGCCAAAAATAAATCTCATAGCTTTGTCTAAGTGCGATTCATAGTTTAACTTGTTAACCATTGGAATAGCATCTTTAGATTGTGGATATTTTATATGTCTGGCTGTTAATCTGTTAAGAGGCATAAATGTTACTTCACCTGGTAAATTCTGGTTATTTATTTCTTTTAAGATTTGGGTTCCAATCTTATCGGATTCAACAATATGGAAAAACATTCTTCCACCAGCAGTTACTTCAACAGCTGTTTGTATGCTTTCATCACAATCAAAATTTTCAATTACTTGGCCATAGTATTGTTTAGCAAGAATGGCCTGAGATCCTCCCCGTTCTTTAAAAATGTCTAGAACTTTACGTACACTGTCTCTTCCATTTAAAATGGCTTTACCAGCCATACTCCGAAGCAACTGATCAGCTTTAGCTAATTCTTCTTTTAATGTTGAGTATGTTTGTTGCAATGTACTTTCTTTACGCCATAATTCATTTCTTTGACTCTGATACTGATCTTTACTTTTTTTAAGTTCATAATACCGTTTATTGTATTCGTCAATAGCAGTTCTTTGTTTTTCTAATTCACTTGAGTTAGTATGCACTAAATTTTCAAGTTCTATTAAACGTTCAGCATCTTTTTTTAAATCTTCCGTTAGTTTTTCTTTATGATCAGTTTTGTCTTTAATTTGTTTAGTTAAGGATCTTAATTCTTTTTGAATCCATTGATCTCTATCTTCTTTGGATGCAAACTGACTTCCACGTCCTTGTTTAGCATATAATTCCTTACGTTTTTGTTCTTTTAGTCCAAGTTCTCTAGTACAATCTTCTTCTTTTTTCTTTTGAGCTTCATACTTAGGTTTTATTTCATGTAAATCAGATTCTTTTGTTTTAATAGTATCTTGAAGCTTCTCTAATTCTCTGACAGCTCTTTCTCTAGAGTTATTATCACCTTGGACTTCGTCAGTAAGATCTTTAATTGTAAAATCTAATTTAGTTTTCTGCTTTATTAATTCTTGTTGCTCTAAATTCAGTGTATCCTTATCTTCTTTAACATTATGTACCAGACGTTTTGCATCACGTAAGTGTTTAGTAGATTTTTTAGCTTCATGTGCTGCTTCTTTCACTTTTGCAGTAAGACGTTTTTGTTCTTCATCTACATCAGTTATTCGACTTTCTAACTCTTCTAGTTTTCTTTGTGTTTCTTTAAGTTCTCTATCATGAATACAATACTCTAGGCTTCTTCTTTTTTTATCCCATACTTGATATTCTTTTAATTCTTCTTTTTCCTCTTCTAAAGTACTTAAGCGATCTTCAATAGTTTTAATAAATTCTACAATTTTGTCTAATTTTGTTTGAGTATCTTTTAATATCTCAATTGATTCTTCTTTACGTTCATCATACACACGAGTACCAGCTACTTCTCTCAATAGTTTAAGTCTATGTGAGTCGGGGGAAGTAGCCATTTGATTTATTTTACCTTGTTTAACAATATAATATGGATTTGAATGAGAAAACCCAGCAGATTCCAATAAATTAGTTACATCACTTCTTGGTACCATTTTTTTATTTAAAAAATATTGATCTTTTTTAACACCGATAACCCTTCTTAATACTACTTCTTCTTTGTCTATTGGTAATCGGTTATCTGTATTGTCAAAAATTATCTCCACATAAGCAGAATTAACTTTAGGTCCAGTTCCTTCATGTAACAATGCTTGACGTTGTTCAGGTCGAAGATGAGAAAACTCATCACTGAGCACAAATTGAATAGCATAGAAAAAATTACTTTTTCCTGATCCATTACGGCCAACAACAACGTTATGTCTCTTGTCAAATGGTTCGACCACGGTTTGTTCACGGTAACTCTTAAACCCGTGAATAATTACTTGTTTGATGAACATGGCTTTTTTTTTAATTTAATACATCTCAACAGCGTGTATTTTTTGACAAAATCGTGTACGAATATTATGTTTTTGAATTTTCATAGTCCCCATCATTAGTCTCTTACATTCATTTTCAATGTCTGAAATTGAAAATTAACAAATTACTTAAAATATAAACAAGATTAACTCGTTCTTACCTGAGTCTAACATAATTGGACACCTTAATTTATATTTAATACTGATAAAAACACGTATCTGGTAGATCTACTTCTGAGTTAAAATAAAAAACGTCTTTTAAAAAGTCGGTAAACCAGCAAAGCTGTATAAAAGGAAGACAAGTTTTGTTTTGTTTACAATTTTTCATTGATAAGCAGTGCTACCTTAATGAAAAATCGAAGTCTGCCAACACTATTTATCGTAATGAAATTTAAATGAAATAAAATAACCTGTGCCTATAATAACTCAGTTATCATCAAAAGTGTTTAATGTCCTTGGATTTTCTCCGTATCAGTTTATCATGTGTTGCTGTTAACAAAATTATTCAACTTTCAAACTAAGATCCAGGCTCTCCAAAGAATAATTTTCAATTGATTCAAAAAAAAATATATATTTATGAGCTTTAGTTTAATTATTACACTCTGACGTTCTAAGAAAAAATATTGAATAACTTACAGTTATTTACACATTGTCTGTATTCAGAAATACAAAATATGTTAAATCTAAAACGGTTCTCAAAAGTAAGAATTTTGAATTGAATTATTAATTTTCAAAATCCATGTTAATAACATTCTTTTATTCAGATTTCGTCGGGTGTAAAACTTCAATTTGGGCAGTCTTCTCTCACATCAAAAAAAACATTGTGCCTCAGATTTGTTCACTCCAACCTTTCTAATTCAGGGTGTGTTAAAAAATATTTAACCTTATATAATTTTTTATTATTCTATGTATTTTAATAACAGAAAATCGAATGTTGGAAAATATGCGTTGGGTTCATTCATATTTGGAATTGGCTCCATTGTAGTTTACGCAAAGTATGATCCAACATTTAGACAATGGTTAAAAACTAATGTTTATGGATCTGATGAACTTTTGAAAATTGTTTTATTTGAAGACGAAATTTTTAATAATCAACCCTACAATGTGAAACCCGAGTGAGTATTTTGAATGTAAATCAAGTTAATTTTTTTCAATTGTTTTATACCTACAAGTAAATTGGCATTTACAAAAATTTAAGAATAACAGCAGTAAAAGGAAGTATTAATCTGTAAAATTTAAAATTGGTAAAATTACAAAGTGATTTATTGATATAGGTTATAATGTATTGCTAATGATCTACTTAAATTATATTTTTGATGATAAATAAAATATATTGATTGAACATATATTCTGTTGCAAATGCAATTGAATGTATTTAATAGGTCATGCTACTAAATTGCATGTCTCATATTTAATACATTACTTTTATAAGTAAAAAATATTTTTTTAAATTATATATTTGGAATTTTTTTTATTTCTTTAAATAAAATAGATAAATAATAATATTATATAGTACAGTGTTTCCCAAACTGAAGTGAGCCTATCTAGGGAGACACAAGGCAAATATTTATATTGTATATTACATTATCATATATTTATTTTTAATTGAATAAAAAATTTTAGGTTAGTTCCCCAATCTAATAATTCTTCAAAACCGATGTCTTCAAAACTTGGTTCAAAAGAATCCAAGATTGTTATTGCCAATACAGATGAATCCTCAGGTAATTAATTAATTACTTTTATAAGAAATTAGTTTAAACCCTTAATACATTGTTTATGTTATTTATTTAATAAATTATTGTTCTATGTATCAGTCATAGAATTATAATTATTATCAATTATTATTAATTAAATTTAATTAAAAATTAAAGTTAATACTTAAAATAAAGATAGCAGTTAATCCAAGTGCGGATGTAGAGCTTGTTTCAGAGGGAGCAATAAAGAATATTTATGAGAGATAAATAAAGTACAATAAAAATTTGATCGTAATTTAAGCAATTTAAGAGACCAAGGGGAAGGGTTGATAACCATATTGCCTCTCCCAATAAATCTGTTCCTGGGTTAAATGTACAAAATATGGTCTATTTTTATTTTTATTTTTTCTATATTATTATGAACCAATTTAAAATGTTTGTTTACTGTAGATAATGTAAATAGTATTATTAGTGATGGACGGTTCTATATTTAAATGTAACATAATAAATTAAATTTCCTTAAAATATCTTGGGGATGAAAAGTAACATGTTCCTCTTTACATATATCTATACTCTATTTTTTCCAATTAATTAAACATGCCTATAGTAGTAGTAGTATCTCAATTTACCGAAAACTTCAATAATGTATTTATTTTTAACTAACAAATACTATAAAGCAATATTTGTAAATATTTTTATAGTAATTTTACTGGATTCATATTAATTATTAAATTTAATTTTATAATAAATAAATAAAACTGATAGTACAGCAATTTTTTATAATAGGTCAAACTGAATTATGAAGTGAATCAAAATAAATTTAAGTGGGAAAATTCAAACTATTCAGACAGACATGTTTAATTGGGTTCGTGGACGTTTTGCCCCTGCTGTTTCGTCCCCGTCAAAAAAACAAAACCACGGACATTTCGTCCCCATCTATTAATAAGATAGGACATTTGGTCCCCGGCTATTATATAGATTTATATATACCTACCCATAGGACGTTTGGCCCCTGGAATTTTAAATCACTAAATATTAAGTAAACATAAATTATAAATTATAAATATTACATATATGATTATTTATTCTTGTCACATTTGTACAAATATTATAATTTTTATTACATTAAAATCATTATTATTTTTAGGAGTAGGATTATTAGTAGGAAATATGCATACACATATGCACTTAAAATAATCGAATATACGCAGAAATAATTAGGTATTTCCCTAGTTGCCAAATCCAGTTAATAATATTATTATCTATGACTATTCTACTGTCATTATTAAGCAATATGCAAATGCAACAAGTCCCGAACCCTAGTAATAACCTAACCTAACCATGGGCCAAAGTCCTATGGGTAGATATAAATAAATCTATATAATTCCCGGAGACCAAATGTTCTATCTTAATAATAGATGGGGACGAAACGTCCGTGGACTTGTTTTTGTGACTGGGACGAAACATCCGTTATTCATTTAATTGAAATTTAAATGTAAGAAAATTTTCTGAACAAAAGAAAATACTAAAAAAAATTCAAATTTTAATTCCAAAAACTAAGGAAGTCTATATATTAATTATATTAAATATTTACTAATTATTATTTTTATTCATTAAAATACCTAAAGCTATTTTTTTATCGTATTATTTATTTTTTAAGTATAACTAAATTGATAAAAAAGCAAAAAAAAGTTAGTAATGTTTTTTTTTTAATTTTAAGTTAAATTCAATCTCCACAACTAGAGCTTGACCAATCACTGAATATTGTTATACTTTTTGATATAATTACATCTTTAATGATTTTTATTCTAGACACGAAAGATAAAAAAAAAACAACAGGAAATAATATTGAAAAACACCAATCAAACTTTAAAGAAATTGAAATTGAAGCTGTTTTATTAACTAAAAAAGTTTCAGATTCATATTCTGAAGCAATTGACACATTAAAAAGTAAGTTACTATTACTAAGTTATATCTATATGAAAAATCACACAATGATAATTATCTGATAAAATGGATTTATTTATCATAAATTAAATTTAAAAATATATATACCAGTGAACTAATTTAATATTGGTGAATGAAATATATTCTCTTTTCTTGATAGTATTATTATACATTCTTTCTTTTCAAAATGTATTCATTATCTAGTAATATGAACTAACAATAATGCTTGCTTAATCAATTTTCTTCAATATTTTAATTCAATACTTGGTTAATATCTTTATTAATTTTGAGTAAATAAATTATGCATATTGTATTATTTTGTTATATAATAAAATAAAGATAATATATTTCTGTATCATCTTATCAACAACAATGAATTGTTTCATTATTGATATTTTGTGAATTATTGTCTCTAGATTATTATGAACTTGTAAATGGAACTATTAATAATGTTTCTCATAAACCAAATGCTGACTATTTGTCAAAACTGAAAAACCTTAGTGTAGAAAAAGATGAACTTTTTAAAAAAGCCAAGTCTAATGCTCAAGAAGCTTGGTAATTATTTATTCACTAAATGTTTAATACCCTAATTTTGTATTGCTTTATTATTTTAATAGTAATCGCTTAGATCAGCTGCATTGTTCAATAGAAAATTTTAAGTTAGCAAATACAAATGAAGCAAAAGAAACTATTAAAATTTACATTGATAAGTGCAAGACTGACATTAAAAATTTGGGAAAAGATTTTGAAAAAGAAAAAGATAACTTATTATTTTTTAATAAATATAATAGTCAAGTTATGAACATTAGAAATACATTTTCAGTTAGTAATCATTTCTAATGTAATTTATTACAATTCATTTTATTGAGTTCTTTTTTTTTTTATAGGATGAATTATTGGCATTATTTCCTCATGTGAGACTTGAAGATAAAGACATGAAATTGACAGATGCTGAATTTAATGTATTTGTGAATTATATTACTCAAAAATTATTATTGTATCAAAATGAATTCTTTAAACAAGAAGTAAGTTAATTAATTCTTACTTTATTTAATTAATCTATGGTAGCGCTAGCTTTTAGAGGTATTTTAACAAATTGAGTTCTATCTACTGTAATTATTAAAATGTTGGGTCATTATCTATTCAGGAATTAGTATTATCATATGCAGTTTAATTACAATACAAAAAGACAATTCTAGATTCATTGTACTATTCAATTTTTATTTTTATTTTTTGTTATGCATCAAATCAAATAAATATAGTATAATATGATACCAAATAAATCAACTCTTAAGATTTTGAAGTTGATTGTTTATCCAATAGTATTATATATATTTAACTAATTGCTAGTTTATTCTTCTAGACAGTAGGTGAAGATCAAGTGAATGATGTAGTTAATGCGTTAAAAAATTCCAACCCTGATGCTATAGATAAAGTCTTAAAACTACAAGTAGAAAAACACCGTAAAAAGCATTTAAATAATTTTATGAAAGAAGTAAGAATTATAATAATTTTAAGTTGGTAAATTTTTATTATTATTTTTTTTTTTTTTTTATAGAGCTTTGTATTGAAGGCAAATGGTGAAGCAAAATTCAAACAACAATTAAGATTGCAATCTGAAGTACATATGGATCATTTAAAAGAAGCTGCTAGTTTAGCTGAAAAAGAAGTTGAACGTCGAGTACGTTTAGAATATTCTGAAAAAGCTGAAACTGTAAAACTTAAGTATCAAGAACAAGTTTCAATTATGACTGCTGTTATGCTTGCTGTAAATGATGCATTGAAAGGTAGTTGTATAGTGGTTAAATTTAAAAAAAATTTAAATAATTTTTAATTTTTAACTATGATGTTCAAGATTTATTCAATTTTAAATTTCAGATCATTCAAGAAAAAGAGATAAACTCAATGAGTCTATTTCTTTGTGGACAGCTTGTCAATCACTATTTACAGCAATTACCACAGATTATCATGTTTCAAAACATGAATTGAAACCTTTACAAGAACTAGTGAATGATATTAAAAAAATCGGAGGTGTGAATAAATATTTCTTGACTTTATTAAAAACTTAAACATTTTGTTGACATTGTATTGTTTTATTTAGAAAACCATAAAATAATTAAAGAATTATTGGAAACAATACCTGAAAAAGTGTTGACTCGAGGTATATATACCGAAGAAACTCTAAAAGATAGATTTTTCAGCGTTGAAGATAAAGCTTTTCATATGGCTTTAGTGCCAGACACTAATGTTAAATTATTTGAATTGGTAACATCATTTGTTTTTACAATATTTACTTTTAAATCATCCGTACCAATCCCTATAGAAGAATTAAACAATGCACCTATTAATATCAATGAATTAAATAATATTGATATTCTCCAACGAGCCAGGTAAAAATTATTAATTTATTGATTATTAGTTATTACCTGTTCTATGTAATAAATAATAATGTATCTAGTTAAAAAATATTTTTATCTTATTTTATATTTTTCATTTTCATTAGGTATTGGATTGAACGAGATAATTATTATCAGGCTTTGCGGTATATGAATTTATTAAAAGGTGGTGCAAAAGTAATTGCAGATGATTGGATGAGCGAAACACGAGAATATTTAGCCATGCAACAAGTTGCCAACACCTTGTTAGCTTATGCTTCAGCAAACATACGGTCTCACTTAGATGCTAATAATACATCCACATAATGTGAAAATTTAGCACTATTTTTGTTTTTATGTATAAGGTTATTGTTAGCTTACAATTTTTTTGTCAGTCAAATTAAATACAAATTATTTCTAACTTATATAAACAAATAATTATATTGCTGTAGTAAAATTAACTATAATTGTCTTGACACATAATGTTGTAATTAATTTATTTTATTGTTCATGGTTTTTAGTTATTTTAAAAATTGAATATGCTTTGTTTGTTTTACATTGTACATATTTATAACAAACACAATAATTTCTCCGATAAATGTGCAGAACCCCAAAAATAATCCAAAAAATAAAATTACAAATGCACCGTGAAATTGAGACATTGAAAGTACAGTGTCCTTAGTAAATACAATACCGCGTGTCATTTCTTCTTTGACATTTGACCGGTCCCATTGTTGCATAATACCTGTTTCAGAAAGTCTTGACATAATGGTGCTTATTCTATGTCGAAACGGAGATCCTTTTCTTAGCATAAAAGTGGATGAGTATGATTCAATCATACATATTGGTAACACGTGCAAATATCTTGAGCCATTAAAAATTGTTTTATATCTCTGCGCATAAAATATCAGTTCACGTTTGGATGCCAAGACGGCTGTGTCTTTTTTCATTAATATCCTCTGTATTAAATGGCTAACACCCTCGGGAGGTAATATTTGGTAACGATCGACCAATGATTTAAAATCAGTACTAGATCCCGCTGAAGAATTTATCAAATAGTACATCTGTTGCCTACCTACTAAATTTAAATTAGTCTTCAGTAATGTATGTAGATCGTTTATTTCGGGAGCTGTTTGTGGAATAGTGATCAAACTGCCCAAATATGCCTGATATGCGCTTGTTACCACTAAGCTGTACATAAGCCAGTTGGTTAGAAAAACTTGTAAGGTGTACGATTTCGGTGAAACTTTGATAGGAGCTCCGATAAAAGTGCCGTATGTATAAAATAAAATAAACATTGGTCTCCATGAAATCGAATTTTGAAACGAGAACTGTGAAAGTACGACAACAACACCAAATGCTAGAATTATGCTGAGCATGATCAATATCCAGGTGACTAGAGAAAATTCTGTTACATAGTTAATCCATAATGTCTGGTCATGACCAATTCCACTTGGTAAGCCCCATGTAAAACAATCCATTTGGTCTTCTTTGACGAACTCAACCTCAGATTCGCTATCGAAAACCCTAGTGAATCTACCGAATGCCAAGTCTACTTTTCTGAGTTTCACCTTTGTACCTACCGGTGAGCTGTCATTATCAGGTATATTCGTCTCGGGTATAAAATTTACACCGGCATAACCATATGCAATACTAACGATTCCTGTAAAATTCATGTGTTGTTGCATAAAGTTGATAACGCGTAATCCAGATCCTGATAACTGGAAGCCTTTGTTCGTTTGTATTACTGTTGTTACAGGTGGTCTGTGGACGCCTAAGCATTTTAGTGGACATCTGGAAAAATGTTAAATTCGTTAAACTCTAAAAGTGCCTATCTATTCGCATGTTTACAGATAAATACAATTTAATAAACGTATGGTTTTACATTGTAGAAATATCCAGCAGCTTGAGTCTGAGGGTGGAATTAATTAGAGACCAAATATTGGTGTAGAAATAATACAAATAACACCTACTCATTAGAACTAACAGTAAAAATGAATCTTTCGTTAATTTTTCAAGCACAATATTGAATTAATTGTAAATATTATAAATATTTAAAATAACGTTGAATAATAAATTTAGCTTTTGACGCCAGAATACTTAAAATAAAAATGTGTAATACGAATAAAAATTAATTTGATTGCGCTCTAAGTTTAAAGTCTAAAATTGTTGCTTCAGAATTTCACATAGTGGCTTTGGGAGCAGTAAGGTTCTTTATAAGTGAAAAATGATAAAAAATAATCTCAAATAATTAACAAGTTAAAATTATAAAATTATAATTAGGGTTACTACAAAAAACACATTTCGGTTAAAAAAACATCATCTAAAATCTCATTATTAAATTAATTTTAATCGATTTTGGTTGAAAAAATAATAACCAAGTATATTGACTGATATATCAGTACATATATGTACCTAGATATATCTATTGCTTAAGATGAAAATTGTTTCTTACAATTTTTTTTAAAAATTTTCACTTTGACCAAATGAAGTAAATTGTTATAAAATGAATAGGTAGTCAAATTGTTTGTCATTACCCGAACAAATCTTTGCAAGCGTAAGTCTTTAAAAAGTATACTGGATATAATAAAAAGAAAAATGCTGAATTCAATATAGAATATGTAGATAATATTATTTATTTTAAATATGAGTCATGAAATACTGTTACAGAGTACATTAAACAATTTAATGTAATTTGTAATAATGAACACATAGGCGTGCAAAGACTTCTTTTCCACGGTATGCAAGTTCTTTATGATATTTGTTTTCAAAATTTAAATTTAAAACAAATAACGAAAAAAAAAATAAATATACAACACTTGAAATGGTTTAAATAATATATTTAAATAGTATAAATAAACAAAAATATAGTCATATATTTCAATGAAATAAATTTGATATATAGTTATAATTGATCAAAACACAATTTTGCATTCAGTTGAATTTTCGAAATCATCAATAACATCTTCCGGATTTAAATGTAAAGCCATTTCTTTGTCTGTAGTTAAAAGCATAAAGTTACAGTACTTCTTAATTTTGTTACCTACATTAAATCGTTTTTACATTAGTATTTGTGTTTCAAACATAAATAAAAATGTCTGGGACTGAATATAAATATATAATAATTATAGTGTAATACAAAAATCATGTAATATAAATTTAAAGACCAAATACAACATGTTTTTCATTTATTTTTGGTATTTTTAGGAACAAGGCTCTGTGTTCAGGATATGTAGCTACATACCTTGCATACCCCCTGTGCACACCTTAGATTGTACAATAGTCAACCATTATACACCACATCTATAAAAAGTATTTTGAGTGTTTTGATAAATAATTGGTTGCCTATTATTCAGTATTTGTTGACTTAGTTTTATTGTTCCAAGATGATTCAGTGAAAATTAACTAGAAGGAAATATTTCTAAAATATTTCCATCTTAGTAGGTACCTACTCAACATTTTTAAATTAGTTTTAATCGATATTTTATAACTCACTAGGCACTTGAATATTTATGTAGCTCATGTATTTAAAATGTATGATAGTTAAAAAAATAGGCAATTCAAACTCAACTAAATTTTATATTTATGCGAGATTTTAATTTTAATTTGTATATAATAATTAATACACTAAAAGTATATACTAAAAGCTACACATATAAAGTTATTTTGTACTTGTAACTAAAATTATAACTATAACTGTAATGTGAAATATTTGTAATTTTAATAACTATTATTATTCAAGTATAAAGATATTAAATGATATATTTTAACTCAATTAATTAATTTTTTTCAATTAAGTCCACAATGTAAAAAATAAATAATTTATTAACATAAGTACAAAAAAATCAGTAAAAAATGTCTTTCAATTCAAAATAAAAGTGGAAATTACAATTATATCTAAGATATAATGCAGGAATGATTTATTTTTATTATTTTTTTTCGTTGGGATTGTTTTAAGATACTCATAAGTCAAATTTACGGTAATCTATGCTTAATTTTACTTCAAATAAATATTTTTCTGGCTTGTAAAATTCAAAATAAATAAATCATTTTAAAAATAAAATGTTAATTTTAAATTAACTTAGGAGGAAATGAGTTAAGTAAATAAGTTAAATCAACATAGATTTTAACTCATCAATGTCCAATCATGGATAATACAATATTGCAATAAAACTTTATTTATTTTCGGTAAAAAGATTATACCAATAGGTTATCAAAGATTAAGTTAAATGTATACCATATAATTTTTGTGTAATATATTTTATGACATTATATTATTATATTATATCTGTTCCGAGTAAATATGATTTTGAAGTTTTTACGCATTACTTTTAAATAATAATATGTCTAACCTGAATTTATATACATATATATATATATATATATATATATATATATATATATATATAAACAAATAGGAAATATTTATAAGAAATTAAAAAAAAAACCAACAGTGAACAAAACTTGAAAGTAATTTCCCGTTTTAAATTTTATTATTGTAAATAATTTTTCGATACATGTTTAACTTATTTGTCTGTAAATGTTTTATGAAACATAAGTAGTCATCATATGTATATCGATATACGTATGTATATCTCGTATATCTATGGTACCTATTTTATGATTTTATAATTATAAATATTGTTATACATGTGTTGATATTGAAATTTAATAAAGGTAATGAGTAATGCTTTTTTAATTTTACATCAAAATTTACAGTAATAAATTTAAATGAAACATTTGTTAGATTATACTTGTATATACCTAGGTAATTACTAAATACTAATTACTATAACAATTTTTTATTTAATGTAATATACATAATGTCTCTGTGACTATTCTATTGGCTTTGACTTTTACATTACAAAGAAAATATGCAATAAATTAACATTTGCATTAAAATTAAACAGCTCATAATAGTAATGTGCAGTTGGTATATTAGTAAACATTAAATTAATAGCGGAGATAAATTTACTATAGATTAATAAATTTAGAAAAATGATGATGATTATAAGTATCTTATGGACAGTTGAAGACTGTAACTTATATTTTTTTAGTCATTGAATATAGATTGATTCATAGATAATGTCTAAATTTCATTAATCACTATATTGTTTGTAATTGTTGTTTTGTTTTTACATTTGTATATGTCTAGGTAAATTGTATGAAAAATGATTCATCCGATTAAATATTTTAACAATCCAATAATTAGCATCGATTAAAAGTATAAAATATTTCATAAATGTCAACAATTTGTAGTATAACGGGTAGAATTACAAGAAAAAAAACCTGCAACGCAGTGTTTATGAACAAGTTGGTAATTTAATTAAATATATAGATTTATATAGATAAATTATTCGTAACCTGTTTGACCAACGTCCAACATTATACTTGTAAACTAAATGGTTCATAGTCTATAACAGTACTATAATAGACTCAGGAGCGAGTGACAACACTGTTCTATTATCTTTTGCCTTAATTTATAACTAAGTAATATTTTGTCAATAGTATAATAAAAATAAAAAAACCTATTCAATTTTAAAGTCCTAAGCAACCAACACTATCTATCAAGTTTCTTTCAATACATTTTTTCAACATTTGAGTAGAAAAATATTAAGTACAAATGGTGACTTTCAAGTGTCTATTGAGTCCATTCCTACCTTACTATAAGCAGTACTGAATTTAGGAAGGGGACTAGTGGGTACATTGGTGGTTTTACTAGGGATCTATAGGGTCTGGACCTTCTCAGACCACGCGTTTAGGTTGTAATATATTATATTTTATATTGGGATATATGCTTATATATAAATCTGGTGAGTTCAACCGTATGTCCGTATTTTGAATGTTTTTTACAGCTATTGCTTATTTAGGTAGTTATATTTTCCTTGAAATTACGATGTTTTTGATATTTATTATTGGTGAAACTTATTTGAAAATGTTGAAGTGGTAAAATAAAATAAAAAATAAAGTATTTTAGTTACATAAGAACAAAATATATATTCAATTTTCTTTTGCTGCTCTTCAAAATTGGCCGCCTCTATATGTAGCTGCTGTACTTAAAACTGATATGGAAAGTCTATGGTCACTAGTAAACAGTTTTAAAACTTAAGAATGAGCCGGTTATTGCAAAAATTACCCCAACCACTAGTTACCAGCCATTTAAGCTGTTGTTTTAACTGTTAGTGAGGTTCGGCACCACTGCAGGTTTCATGAACACGTATTATTATATCAGTGCATTTATATAAATGGAATCTTTGTCACGCGTGTTCTCTGAAATCACTCGAAATATCTTACCTCGAATTTTTCTTTTTTTTTTTTTTTAAATAAATAGTACATCGCGAAACAGGTTTTAAGCTTAATTTCAATTCTATATATGTAAATTTAGTACTTGTTATATTTTTCAAAATATTTACAAATATATTTTACGAGTGACTCAGAGAATGAAGTTGTATACATGTACTTGTATATTGCTACATACTTGTGCAAGTCTTTTAGCTTATTGTCCATGCCGAATATTCGGTCGGGCCTGATGAACCCGTTGGTCCAGCTGCTCCAGGTGTTGATCATGATGGGTGGTCCGGCCCTGTTGCACCGGGACGCGGTGTACGGGTTGAACGCGTACACGCGTATGCTGCCGCTGGTCATGGGTACCAGGACGGCCACGTCAATTAGCTGATACTGCCAGAACGTCTCGAACGTGACTTGGATGTGGTGCAGGTCGACGCGGTCGCCGGCGATGCCGCTGCGCACGCCGTCCCACAGCACCATGTGCCGGGAGTGGTCACTGGACGGCAGCCGGCCGAGCACCGCGTCGTAACCGCCGTCATGGCCGCGGTCCAAGTACACCATTAGCCCGGTGGCCAGTCGTAAGTCGTCCCTAGACACCAGCACGCGCGGATGCGCCATGCCCGACAGCAGTTGCTGGCCCAGCTCGCTGTCGCGCACCTCGTCCGCGAACATCACCACCGACCGCGTGCCCAGGTACTCGTCCACGATCCTGTTCACGGATCGGGTCAGTCGCAGCACGCGCGCCCGGTAGTCCCCGTCCCGTTCCAGCCGCTGGTGCACCGCCTGGCCTAGCGCCGTGCTGGCGGCCGCGGTCGGGCCGCAGCACCAGCACCAGCAAAAACAGTACCAGCCAGTCACCGACAACGCCCGATCCGGCTTCATTGCGACGCGATTTCACAACGACACTCGTCTGATGCCCGTTCTTTTCTCCGTCCTGCCGTGTGCACGTACCCGCCGGTCGCTACGTATAAATACACACACACACACACACACACACACACACATACATACTGACGGCACGCTGTCTGTACTTGCAATTACTGTCAATCCATATTCAAATCGTGTCCAAAGGGCTCCTGCCCGTGCAATTAATTAATAAATAAACACGTGTACGAAGTCCGCGTACAAGGGTTTATTGTGTCGTTTCGTCGTGCGAGTCGTAACTGCCAGTATTATGTAATTATTTTACGACTCATTTGCTTAATGCACGGAACCATTTACAGGGTGGTCCGCGTTTGCCCGATAGAAATATCTCCATGAATACATCACTTTTCCCCTTTTAAATTTAGTTTAGTCATTTTGTAGTAGTATTAGAAACGAAACTTTTGAATTTTCCATTGCTAAAATGTTGAAGAACAGCCGTTCTACAAAACATGTTTTTATGAAAGTATCGTGGTGGAAGTACGATAATTTAGTTTCACAGTTACGGGCAACGTAAGTTTTGAATAAAAGAAACGCTTACACGGTTTGGTAGGTATGATATTTACGCGTACTTTTTTTTAAAAACCTACATGTGATTTATAATTATGAAACCAATTATTGGAATTTCCATAACGATTTTAATTGTTTCATAAAATGGCCATTTTGCAGTTTTATAAAAATGTCAATTAGAAAAAGTCGATTTTTTGAATCGGTAAAGGGTCGAAACACATATTTGATATTACGATTTTCATCAGTGCACACTATATGAAATTATACTAAAACAAAAAAAAAAAAAAAATAAAAAAAATTAATACAATGTAAAAAGACTTTAATTTTCCATCGACAAAACATGTTGGGTCACTCTGTATTATTTTATTATGTCCATATATATAGTGTACACGAATCGCAAAAGTTAACAAATATTCAATAAGTAATTATATGTATTCGTATTATCTATAAAATTATTGCTTGATAAACCGTTACATTTTTATATAGGTAGCTGTATAATTTATATTCACATGTATGAAGGGGAAAAAATCGACATTAATTCATTGTTATAAACCATACATAAGTTGCGGGTACTTAAATTAATTGTTTTACTATTTTACCAACTGCATTATCCAATGTATTGTCAAATAACAATAACACATTTATTTGTTCAAAATAATTATTTACAATTATTCGTAGGTACATATAGTACCAGTACAATACATAAACACCTATGTTTCTAAATAATAACTTAATGGATAACAATTATGTAATGAAGTGTTTTTCACCATACAAAAATTCGCAGCACAATTGTCAGTTATAATGATGACGATATTTAGTAGGTAATTTATTTATAAAATATACACTTAATACATATAGTTAAATCGGCTTTATTTACCCGATTAGTATTATTGGATCACATCACTCTGTGTATACACACACATATAAATATATAACTTTTAGATAATCATAGGCAGATATAGGTATAGTATTTAATGTAAAAATAACTTTTTAACAAGAAAATTAAGTATAAATATAGTATTTTTATTTTTTAGATTCATGATAGTTTTTTTTTTAAAAGATTTTTACCATCTAAAAAATTACAATTACTCTTTAATAATTTGTTGGATTCAAGTTAGATATTATGATCTTTAAGACGTTGTTTAGCGGTACCCCCCAACGGCTGACCACGAAGTATGATTTAAAACACCGCTTACATAACAGTGTTCACTAAGTGATATTTTTTGGCCCCGACCTATTCTTCTAAACTAGTTAAACGGCAACAATATTTTTAACCAGTTCCTTCGCGGAATAACTATTAGTTATGAAGTTAGTTTAATTCATCATCGCAAACTATTACAGGATATATTGTGTTTATTGAATTTTGATTTGATTAGTACGATAATATATTTGTGTTACAGTTAGTTATTTGTGTGGAAATATTTTCATTTTTATTTTATTTACCATTATAATGGTTAAATATTCTATTTTTAAAATGAACTATTGCAGATATTTCAATTATTATTAATAATATAAGAAATAATAATTTAATTTAATTTTTACAGAAAAAAAAATTCTAATAAAATAAATTAATGGTTTCAGTTAAAAAAAAAAAAAAAAACGAAAATTAAAATATAAATCACATAGGCTGAATTTTTAATTTAAACAAAAATGTTTATCTAAAAAAACCAAACGTTCATGGCACGTGAATATCACTTCGCATGTGTAATAGGTTTTGAATGGTTCATCGTCGATTGGACTGGTCTGTTAGAGGTGTGTTCATGTTAGATTTTAAAGTGATGATAAATCGTAGTCTAAAAACTACTCTAAGTATATTATATTGATGAATAATTTACGTTAGAAAAAAATCAAGTTTGGAAAGAAATATATATATATAGAAAATTATATTTTCAGTAAAAACGTGTTGTTTTTAATCGTGTTGAACATAGTACAACTTTTCCAATTATAATAAAATTAAAGAAAATTATTTATACCAATTAACTATAGAATTCTTAATTCTTAAAATTTGTAATTATTTATATAATCAAAGATATATATTGACGATATAGTATTATTGAATGAAAGATAAAGATCTTTTTACCAAAAGTTCATGTATACAAATTCAGTATTTTGAAACTAAACGGATAATAAATTCATTACTTAGACTGCTATTTATTTGTACAACTATAATATCCAAGGGCATTAGAAACGTTTTCATTTGAATACACTTATACATATAGATTTTTTAGCTATATTCAAGTCCTGATTAGAGGGGGGCAGAGGGGGCCATGGCCCCGGATCCAAAACAGATACCAAACAATAGTAGACCTCTGGTAGATAGTAGGTTTTTTCGTTTTTTAACTTTTTTTTTTTTAGCTTGTATAAAGAACACATGCATAACGAGCAGTTCTTAAGCAAATTAAAATAGTTTTATGGATTTATATTCAGAGAGTATTGTTTTAGAGGTAATTAATACCGATGATATAATTACAGGATTTGCTTCCCAAAAAGAAAGAAAAAATTATTTATATAAATAATATTTTTATTTTTGTATTTAAAAAAGCAAGAAATAAATTTATAAATTAGAATATAATTTTTTTTTGTCTCAGAGATATATTTATGTGTGGTTCATCATTATTTTGATTATGGTTATGGGCTCCAAATTATCATAATCTGGGCTTGGCTACATTTATTTTTAGTAACTATATGCTAACTGCCATTTAAATAAGATTTGTAGTAGATAATAAAGTAGAATCTTTATAACTCTATAGTTCAAGAGGGGAATAAATAATTTGATTTATCAAGAATCAAATTAAATTTATATGAGTGAAATGTGAATAGGATTATTTTTCTTCTATCCATCGAGTTATTTAGTTACTTACTAAAATAGATATTAAATTTTGATTTTTATGTGATTTTTGTTTCCCTATCTTTAAAAATTTTAATTTTCTACAGGTACATATGACATTTTCGCTTTCTTCAGATTCTGGTTAAAGAAACTAAGATGTATACCTAGTAGTGAGTTTTTTGTTACACCTACTTCTTTGTTTGGAGAATAACTTATAGTTAAATATTGAATTACAGTACAAAAAATATTAATATTCATTTATAATTAATATCATGTGAAATTCAGTCAATACAGCTGTTTTATATGAATATGAGAATAATAGTTTTTCAATTCAATTAAATGTTTATTTGACTTTAACTGAACACAGAATTTGAGTAGAATACAATAATATTACATTTAAAAACATACCCATTTTCATTGAAATTATAAGGAATCTTTTTGGGTGATTATTTTTTTTGAACTGAAGTATACAAAATATTTTAATTTATATTTAGTCATTAGTATTATTTATGTCTCATAAAAAGATTATTAGCTATTTATCTTGTTTACTTTTACAAAAATATTTCTATTATAATTTTTTGTTATTGTTTTAATTTTAGTTTTATAAAATCAAATCAAAAATAATTGAGTTGATAAGCACCTTGTGGTATAAATAAAATAATTTCAGGGTACGTTAATTGTTTAAGTTTAAGAATTCCACTTATGAAATTTTTACATTTTAAACACTCGTTTTATATTAATTTAAATCCTTCTACTACATGTTACAATGTAATATTAATAAGTAAATTATTATAGCATACATATTTTTAAAATATTTGTATGTTATATAATACACATGATATTGTGTTAAGTTATTTCGCTTTAAGTAGTGGGAATTAAATTAATTACAATTGTTGGTCTATTTGACTCAGTCCATATTTGACTTATTGATTTATGATTTGTTTCGTAGGTAAATATGGGAGTATTTTTTACATCGTCACCATGACACAAAGTAAAATGTATAAGCCTAATACATTTTGTTAATAAGATAACACCATATTTTAAAATAGCAAGTGAACTAAAATATAAAATTGATGGAAAATCTTTATACGAGTAGTTGATTGGCTATCGACATTATAACAATTCTATTATATTATTTAATAGGTAATGATTATATGCGACTTTTATTTTATCGTGTACGTCAAGATCTCAACGATTTATCAAAGCGATTATAGTTATAATACGTCGTATCTTTATGCATAAAAATAAATGTGTGCCTATAATATTATAATGATTAAGAGAGCACAAAAAATAATAGGTATGGCCACGGGGGGCAATGTCGTTTCTAGATAGATACTATAGTTTGCCCCCTCTAGCTTAAAATTAATTAAATCGTTGAATGCAGCAATTTAATCATAAGCGTAGAACTGCAGTATTTCCACTGGTGAGGGAGAGGGCTAATGTTATTCGTCGGCTAATCGCATAAAATCGTTATACAGGTACTTGCGAGAATTACAAAAAATATTTGAGGGGCTATTGAAATATTTTGGAAAGAAGCTGTACCGGCTAATTTCACAAATTCCCTATATTTTTGCTTCTAAACATAATATTATATTAATTATCAATCGCTATCTAAACTAATATTTTATGCTTAAATTTCATTTGAACAGCTTAATTTTTTTCGTTTATCAAAGTACACATATTGTGATTGAAAACTGACTATATGTTATCTATCTATGAATACAAATACAATTTGAAACACAAAACAAAATAAATAATTTAAAATAATATTTTAAAAACACATGAAAAAGTGACTCTACCCAAGTACCCATCTACCATTATGAAGATCCACACAATTTTAAAGATGTATCGACGGATAAACATTAAATCCGGAATAACCATCATTGTATACTTATATTTTTTTATTTATAGGCTTATAGTATTTATTTGTTTTCTTTAATTGTACTTATTGAGGAATCCATAAAAACCATTCTAATACTTATGATATACAATAAAAATTTTCCATTATTATTTCTAATTAAATATTTATATTTTTAAATGTATAACTAGATATTAAGCTGGTTCTATACTACTCACAAGTATATACGATTAATTCACAGTTAAATTAATCAATGACACTCGCGAGTAATATGAGAATATACACTTGCTATAATTATGCACTCGCGATCAGTGGTGTATTGATAAATACATTTATGGGTATACGCATTAATAAAATATGTATATTAATACTAAAAAAACGTTCTCGCTAAACTCGAATAAATTAAGTTAACCTCTAACATGTTTATAGCTTCTAATAAGACTATAAAATACAATATCATAAGATATAAATTTGCCGCGCATTATAAATTGTTTGGTGCAGATTTATGAACCATGAGCTGAAAGTCCATACTCTATATTATATTTAATAACATTTATTTTTAAAAATATTATTTACTAAATTGAACTTAAAATATATTAAACTGTAACTAAACTGTACACTGCAATATTCAACATATAAATATTTCATTCAAACTTCATAGTTCATAATAATTTTTTCCAATGAATTTTTAAATAAGTTTTATTTAGTTTACGAGTTATTTTAGGAGCGTATACCCGTAAAATAAAATTTTACATTAGGTATAAGCAAGGACGTTATTTCAACTTTTGAAAGAGTAAGGCAATTGATTAAATTTGCCAACTTCATAATATTCAAAAAAATATGGTTACCTATATATTTAAATATTTAATATTTATTGACGATAGATCAGGGGAGCGTATTTAGACTTACTTCAAGGGAGGGTGACTCAAATTTTATTTTCAATTCAGGCACAAAATGTACAAGTAAAATATTTGGTAATATTTAAACCTGGTGAATCCTTAATATTTGTGATTTTTTTTTTAATCTAATGTCGGATCCCCTTAGAATCAACTTTTGTGTAGTTATTTTTAACACCTGTCTGTGTTTTGAAAGTTACGCTTGTATTTTACTTTATTTTTCACTAAGTATGGAACCGACAAAAAGCCCAATTCAGTATTAATACCCATAAGAGTTCATCAATAAAAGGTGCTATTTGTACTGTTGGATTATCTGGGGGGGGGGGGGGCCAAAATTATACCTTTATCTCAAAAAAATTGTCAGGGGGGCACTTTCCCCCCTTCCCCCGTACAATTACGCCACTGATGATAACTAAAGAACATGAAACATTTAAATTTATCCAATGAAATAATAACATTACAGATAGTAAAACATTAATTTATTTACTTATCCTATAGGCTATAAATTATCTATCAATAGGTTTAGTGGAATAATAATATAAATCTAATTAAATAAATATTTATAATTTTATGTTTGTATATTTAATACTTAACAAAACTTATTTATAAAAACATAAAATTAAATCTCAAATATAATGTACCGTAGATTGGGGTGAATAGGAACGATTTTAACGGTTTTTTTTATAGATTATGAGCTCAATTGTTATGGTATCGATATCACGAAAACTGTTTTATAAAGATCACATAAATAGAAATATATAATATATCAAAAATAAAGTTTATAAGGTTTGCGTAATAACAACTGTCATAAACCGGGGATGAGCCAGTGTTTCTCAACTTTTAATAAACCGTGAACGTGTATTTAAAAGAGAATATTATCTGATTTCTGAATACAAAGTAGTAAATAAAAATTTACTATTTACCGATTTTAGCATTTGATCATCGGACAATGAATTGCCGATTTTTTAAAATTTCTTAAAGGGGGGCATTTTCCATAGTCTGTCCCCCCCAAATGACGCCTCTGGGTATATGCCAAAAATCGAAAATCTGCAGATGGGTACACGACGTATACCCGTGTATACGTACACCCCTGCTCGCGTTGGCACTCATCGTTGTTAGTCCAGAAGGCGGTAAATTGTTCCGAATCAAAGCTGAATTGCGCACTTGTACATAATCGGGTTAATTTCCACGCTGCTCGGGAATAATTGAAAATTAACGAAAATAATCAGATAGCAAACAAATTATACGTGACTCGGTAATCGCTAAAATTTGTGAATAATACTCGCAATAGTTCGTAGCCGACTCTATTTTCGATTAGTGTGGGAAGTAACTTTGAAGATCGAGCAATCAATCGGATTATTTACTTGTCTCTACACTTGTCATTATTTGCGAGTAGTGTGGGACCGCCTTTATATATTATTTTATTTATATTATAACTAAATTATACATAATTATTAAAAGGAGTAGGTACATAGGTATATTTTTTTTTTTTGAAAGAAGCGAGATCCGGGTAGGTACAACTTTACCGCATTACTTTCGTCCAGGTATATACCTTAACATTCTTCTTTTATAATTAACATGGCGAAAGGGTACGATGAAAGCTCATGTATAATAATGTTATTATGAACTCAAAAAATCACAGCATATTTATGTATACGGTTATGAATTGTGATACATCTTTACGACTTTATATGAGCACATATATTTACAATATATGCACGCTCGTAATACTGAAACTCGTGTATAATAAGTAGATGACTACATATTATGTAGGAGTTTATATGTTCATTCATATTCATATATTTATTTAGTTGCATGGCAAATTATTAGGCGTATAAGATTAAAATTTTAATCTAAACGATTCTTCTGTCGTATATAGTTAGTACGTAACGCCATATATTAAATTGATTGCACCAGTCATAAAACGAATAAAAGATTTTTTTTTAACTAGAAAAAATATAGCCGAACCGATATAATGGACATGCTTGTAGTTAATTATTATTCATAGATTAAAGATATTGCGCTCGCGGTTCGGGAAATCATGCAGATGAGCCGTGACCCAAGCATCAAGTCAGTAACGCGTTTATAGAAGTTGCACGAGCTGCATTAATGCATTATATATAGCAGTTGTATAGGCATAGGTATATATTGTACATGTAACATAATGTATAATATAAATTGATATAATACCGTACAGATAGGTATACGTATATGTGTATAAATATATGTGATGGAAGAAAAACCAAACATTTCGACGACTTGCTGAAGTCGTTTCTCAATGCCGCCGCGGAATTATACCTATCTACCTACATGATAATAGTTGATTTGAAGAAACCTGTTGTCCAACTTTTAGGGTATTAAATAAAATGCACGAAAAATGCATTCATGCCTGGCAGGAATGGGAAAACACAGATCGTCATATATACATATATTGTTGCACACGCGGGCATTACATATACGCACGCGGCGATTTCATAATAACGAAGAGGAATCTGGTTTTATCCAGTTTGTTGAACCGCCCAAAAAGAAAAAAAAAACCGTGCACGCAAGACTACGGTCAAGGTTAGTACTTGCAGCGGTGCACACGTGAACTTGCCATTCCAAGAACGGACCCTATAAGCTATATAAGTGCGACGATCCGGTGTCCGTAGTTTTTATTCACCGATCGACTTCTATAGAGACAAGATGGCCAAGACCAATGGAATTTTCGTCATGTGCATCGTGAGTATACTTACGTATTATGCGTAAATATCATTTTATATTAACATGTGCAAATAAGTTTAAGTTCATTAGGAATCCGTACAGTTTTCGAATGGTTCTAGTGTAACTGTTTTTCCTAACTACCTATATCGTCTATACTCAGGGGCGTACGCAGGAAAAAATTTCTCGGCGAGGGGTTGAAAAAATGTAAAATGTTAATAAATAGTATGCTTCATTACCTATTCGTTATATAATATATATATTTATATATTTTAATCACAAGTCTCAGGATAAACTTTGAAAGAACCATGAAATTGGTCATGAATTCAGGTCATTTTTTTTGAGAATTCGGAGAAATTTGAATCCTTATCATCCTTTGTCTATACTCCATCAATGTGATCGTCATCGGACGAATTGCTTTAGTCATTTATGCGTTTTAAAATTTAACTGGGTTGACCTTAGACAATGAAAGACTTTTGGTAATCTAATACATGTGAGCTTCGACTCTAACCGAATGCCACAAATTGGTGTAACGAGGCTTCGGTCATTAATATTTTCGTAACAGAGGTTCAAATGTGAATCACACATTCTGTCGTTAATATCACGCCCAAATATTCGTAAATAAGAAAACCTATTAGATATTTTAAGTTAATTGAGTTAATCGTATTAACTATTTTTATCTAAATAATTAATGTTAAGTTGGTAATTTAAATAGACAAAACAATGATATTAACTCGGGTTAGGTACCACCTATTTTATGTTCTACATATTTATTAGCTATACATATATGTGTATTAAATTTAAAACTGTCAGATATTGATATATGAATACACTAGGTACCTAAATTATAATACCAATAGTCGGATATTATATGAACGTATAAATGCATACGTTGACTTCGATTTGTAATAGGAATGAAGGATTAATGTGGTGATGACAGGATGGTGGAATGAGAGCGGTAGAGGTAGTTTTCATATTCAATAGGACTTTTCTCCAGAAAACGAATTTGTACGAATTACTATGGATTATTTTATTCCCCCGTTCCGAATTTATATTACACTAATGTAGGAGTCTTCAATGTACAATAACATTTAGTAATTGTTTAATATTATATAATATCTGCAGGTCATGGTAGCCATGATGGCAGCCGCAAACGCCTTCCTGGAGCCTTTCGCCAGCCATTTTTTGGCCAAGAAAATGCTCCTGAAACAAGGATTTGGTGTGCCACCCGCCGTTCCCCAGACGTCCGCGGTGTTCTACGGAGGACACTATTACCAGCAGCAGCAGCCACGACCCCCGTCAACAGTCACGTTCCCGTCTTACGGGCCACCACCGTCGACTCCTAGCTACCCCTCGTACGGACCACCACCCAGCCCCAGCTACCCCGCGTACGGACCGCCGCAGTCCAGTTACAGCGGATACAGTGAGCCGTCACCACAGGTCGTCGTATTCAAGCCCATTGCGCCACCCGCCGGATGTCTGCCCAGCAGCAACCCCAGTCCGCAGATTGATTATTCCAACTACGCGGAGCACGGCGGTCACGGTTTCGGCAGCTACGGCAGCGTCGGCGCCCCCACTAGTAACGGCAATAATGGTGGCTACGGCAAGAAGTAGACTTCGCCCTACTTACCCACTGAAGTAATGCATTGGAAACACGCATGCGGACACATTTGAACATTTGACGAAAAAAAAAAAAAAAAAACCACCTATGTAATATTATATAATATGTTTTGTTTTAACTATGTAAATTGAAAGAATTCAAATTTAATTTTAATAGTAAAAAAGTAACAATGTACAAATAAGGGTTTTTCACTATTTATACATCCATATTCAATTACCTATATGTTATAAATATATATATATATATATATATATATATATAAAAAAAAAAAAATACAAGGTAAATTTGACTAGCGTCTGTCAATGTTTTTGGTAAGCGTTTCTCAATTGATCTTTTGGCACCTGAACACATTTAAAGTGTCATCGCACAAACACCCTGTGACTTCTTTTCTAGGTAGAAGACATTTTATTTTATTTTAAGACATTAAATAATTTTATTCTAAGAATTTCAAGTGATCGAGGACTAATGATCCTAACTGAGCTAAGAAATAAAAAAAAAAAATCTATCTTAAAATTATCAGCAAAGTTTTGTTGATGTGACATTAAGACACTTTTGAACATGATTATTCTAAATAAACATTTACTCACAAAATAAATTAATCAATTTTAAGTGGACCAAAAGTAGGATCATTTGAGAAACACTGATCTAATTATATTAAATATTTTTCTTAGATTTCAATAACATAAATATATTTTTAAAAGACAGTTATAACAAAAAGATATACTTTGTATAATAAAAAAAAATTCACAATGAATAAAAAGAATTATAAATATAGAACAATATTCAATAAGTACAGAAATAATAACTCTGATTAAGACATAAATTAACAAAGTCCACAGCTAAAGATATTTGTTAAATAATTAATGAAGAATACAAATTCCAAAGTGATATTAATTTTATATTATACCATTGTTATTTTTAAAATAATTATAAAAATTGTAAAACAAGTAAGTAGGAATTTTTATTTATTAAAACTTTAAATGTATCAAATTACAATTTGAATAAAGAATTTAGAACTCTTTCAATTTTGTATTATTATTCATTTTAAGATTTTTTAAATATAATATATTTGGGATAATTGACAAATTCTGATGATTTGCCAAAAAATATAATTAAAAAATGTATGTTGAAATTCAATGTATATATAATATTTATATTCTAAATGGATATTTTACAGTAATTGTGGTGTGTATTTTGTTTAAATGTTATTAATAAAAAATGTAAAACAAGATTAGCGAAAAAATATTCATAGAGTTCCAAAAACTTTATCTAAACCAGTTAACATGTATGTACAATTATACTGAAAAATATTTACAAATGATAACTTTGCAAAAATTAACTCTAAAACAAATCTATTTAAATGGTATCAAAGTCAAAAAGTTAAAAATTAAAATTACTAAGTGTTTAGTAAAGAAAAATATTTTTATTTTTATGATTTGCATGGGGTAAAATATACATGATTTATAAAATATGAAAGCTAAATTAATTTAAATAAAGAACACATTTTTCTAAATTTATTCATAAACATCATTCAATATTTTTATAATGTAATTTTTTTTTTTAATTGAATCTATATAATAAGATATATGTATATATTTTCCATTAATTTCAATATTTTTGAGTAAATGGAGATGCTAAATTTCACTAATGAAAATTAAAAGGCACATTTAAACGAACACAATATAAACACTCATACCAAATTTGCCATGAAAAGGCTTAAAAAATGTATTATATTCACAAAAACACACATATATAAATGTATATATAGCATATATAGAATCAATTGTGGATGTAAAAATATATACACACATACATACATATATAAAAGATTAATAAAAATACATCTAACACGAGATCTTTTAATTTAATTGAACATTGTCTTTTAATTGTATAATATTTCATTTATAATAAAAAAAAATATTAAATTACAATTGATAAAGGGTGGGAGAGGGAACTTATTAACATTAGATAATTAAGTATTAAATATACTGTATAAAAAATACATTTTTTTTAAAATTAACTTTACAATATATGCACCATAAATTCTATAACTTGTGATTCGGCAGCTACTAATAATTAAATTTGTGCAGTAAATTAATACATATATATATATATATAAAAATTCCAGAAAATATGAAAACAAATTTAACATTAATTATAAAATGCAACAATTATTAGAATATCAAATGGTAACTACAAAAAAAAAAAAAAAATTTAATAGGTATAAACTTATAAATCTTTGGCACTGAAAAAAGAAAATAGCATGAAGAAAAAGAAGAAGAATAACAACAAATTAATAATAGCTTAGACATAAGCAAAATATCTTAACATATTTGTTATAAAAAAAGGAAATTTTCCTAACTACTATGTTATATATATTCAACAATCACAGATAAAAAAAAAAAAATGTATTATATTTATTAAAAGTGATCATTGTTAGTAACTGCATCAATATTTGAATCAGAATACATTGGTAAATAATCCAATTGATCTAAAGGGTCCAGTCGTTCTAGGTGTATCTGATCAACAATACCTTGCCTCATATTATCTTCGATAGGAAAGTAATTGGCATCAAATGATGTCGTGGAATTTAAATCTTTGATAAAATCATTTCCATTATTTAACGGATGATCTTCATAGGAAAAATCTGTAAAATAAAAAAGAAATCAAAATGAGCAATATCTGGGTATCAAGAACAACTTTACTATATTATTCTATAGTGTTGTAATAATCAGGAGTACACATTTTGCACAGGTGTTGCCTTTCAGAGCAGCAACTAATTTATTCTTCTCCAGTATCATATTACAATAAAAACTTAAGATATTAACAATTTACTACTAATTTATTAGGTACCTAATTGGCTGCAACATGACGGCTGTTGGGACAAACTAGAGATGGGCAAAATTCTTTGAACATCGATATTCGATGTACCGATACATCGATTTTTAAAATAACAATGTGTTTGATGTATCGGTGAAAAACCATTGATGTTTAAGAATTACAGTGTATTATTTTCTTGATTAAATAATAAATTTAAGAGTTAAAATATTATCGTTTAACTTATATTTTTTAAAAACATATTAAATACTTATAACCAGGTCTCGTAAGTTGTATTTGCATGTTTTCTTTGCTATATCGGAAAATATGCTAATTGAGATAAAATTCCGTCTCATAACAATGGTAATACAAATCTAAAGTTTAATAGAGCATATTTTTGTATGCTTTGTGTGTATTGGCATATTTAGTATATAGTTGATTTTTTTAAAGTTATTAGCGCATATTATTTTATGTAAATTCGGTGAAATCGTTTTTCGTGGAAGTCAAAAAAAATTAGATCAATAAATGTTTGAATTCATTCTTATTTACTTTTCCGGACTTATTTATAAAATCTTAGTATTTTATCAATATTTTTATTTTTTAATGAAATTAAATTTTATAAGTTAAAAGCAGTACCATGAAAACAATGTTATTACACACCACTACCACTCTCCTCTTATTGACGTGTCCATTGCAATCTATTTTCATCGCAATGTGTGTTTATTAATTATAATTTTAATAAAATGTAACCGAAGAAAAAATATAACTTTTAAAAATATAAATGGATGATTCTTATTATTTTAAAAAATCCTTAAACGTTTTTGTTCGTCCATAGTTAAGGATTTTTAATGCATACTTGATCAAAATCAAATGTTAGTGCATTATTGCATATTTACTTATGCGGTTTTTAGTGCATGAACTTACAAGCCCTGATTATAACTGTATAACGATTTTTGTATAATGCATACTAAAATAATACAAATAAAAAAAAAATTCGAACTTTTCGAATATAAACATTGATATTTAAGTTCGAACATTTCAAACATCGATGTTTAATCGTTTAATGGAAAACAAATCATCGATGTTGAAACATTGATATATTGATCTAAAACATCGATGTTTTTTGCCCATCCCTAGAACAAACGTTAGGTAGTAAAACAACCACGAGACCCAGTGGAGAGCATTGATTCCAATATGGTCCTCGTAATGACTCTAGATGAAAACAGATTCAAGTTCGAAGCTTATAGTCTATAATGACCTAGATTCATTAGATTCATTTCGTATGACTTTGTACAATCACACTTTTTGAATAAAGTCACACATTAATAGAAGATTCGCGGGCCTAAGACTTCAGCCAAAACCCAGGGCTAGTGTTATTTGTTACTGTAATTATTTTATATTTTATTAAGTTAGGAAGTTATTATATTCTTAGATTCCATGATTCGGTGTACTAACTTAAATTGGTTGCTTTTGATTTTTCCACTATTTTAGAACAGGTTTTTTTTTTTATTAATTATACTAAGAAAATTAATTATATTTTCATTAAATTTATTTAAATATATTTTTTGGTTTAATTTGAAATTTTACCATTTTAAATTTAAGAACTCTTATACTAACTATAAAAAAGTAATGGAAAGGTATACATAGAAACAATGTGGCGTTATTTATACATATTATTTAAATTATGGGCATGTTCATATATATGCCTGTAAAATAGTATCAATTGAATTCATTAATTTGATGATTATCAAATTACCTGTTAATATTATGTGTGGAACTGGTTGTGAAATCTTGGTACTGAGAGTATTAATAGGTGTTGTATGATTTTGATTGGGATATTGAAGAGACTGCAAAGGTGATGTGTTAGAATAATCAAGATCAGTATTAATTTTTCCATTTACCTCATCATCAGGCTAAAAAAATATATATATAAATTAATTGTTTTAGTTTATAATAATTTACATGAATGTAAATAGCTACCTGTGTCAAATATGTGTGGTTAGAAGGAGAGCCTATATAATCCATAACTGCAGGCCTAGGACTGTCATGCTATATATAAAAAAAAAATTGTTAAATTTTAAATTTAATTCTAAAAAAATATAAAATAAATTAAAATTAACATGCAGTGATTAAAACTAACATGAATTTACATATGCAAAATAATACTAAATTAACATTTTTAAAATGTAATACATATAAGTATGGTTTATGGTATAACTTAAGTAAGGTACACATTTGAAAATTTATTCTAAACCATTTTACCTGCAATTGAGTAGTCATCCAAGCAGTTGAGTTTGACTCTTTTAGAGTTTGGATCAACTGATTCCAGTCCTGCTATATGATAGCGGAACCAAAATACATTAGGTATATTTAATAATTTGACATTTCAAGTAAATTGAAATAGTGTGCTGATAGTTGGATACAAAATGACAAATTCTGTATTCATTTATACAAGTTTGTCAAATAAGAAAATGTTTTTATTTAATATATATTTATTTTTAAATTAATTTATTAACTTTAAACTATTAAATATTATTGTATTTAACTATTATATTAACTATTAAATTATTGTAATTACATTTAAAGTATTTCAATCTGATTTTTTTCCCCTTCTGAAATATGCCAGCAAATGTTTTTTTCAATTTATAATTTAGTAGAGCAGGCTTACAAATAGAAATAAATAATATTAGGCTTAAAAAAATATATTAATAAATTAATATACATTACAACATTTTTAGAATAAAATAAAATATTAAAACATCAATTTTATTGAAAAATCAAGTAGTGTTATTTTTAACAAATGAGACTAACATAGTTTACTGCTGTGTATAAGAAATAAGATAAATTTTATAGTTCTAACATTTATATATTTATGTAAATTATTTTTACTTACAACCTCCTTTATGGATTAAAGCACAAACCAAAATAAATAATTATTAATCTCATAAATGTTAATGCATGTTTCAAATAACTAATGATGATACTTAGTTTTTATTATTGTAAGAACTGACTATCTATTTACTGGATTGTTATAACACTAAAAACTATATATAAATATATTAGTTTAGTAGCTCACCATTGAAAAATCTTCAAAGTGCTTATGAAGATTGCTACTGACTGAAGAGTTACTTGGGGAGGATGGACTTTGAGGACTGCTACATAATGGACTAGAACTTCCATACTGAAAAAAAAAAATAAATAAAATATACAGACATCCTTATTCTAAAACAATTAAATTATATAAATTTAATGTAAACATGTAAGACTTTTGGAATGTAACTTATTGTTTAATAAATTATATATTTTACACAAAAATGTTTAAAAATATATAAGTTTCATATTTATGATAAAAATAACCCTACAGTAGATTCATATTCTTTCAAACTGATACTTAACATTTTTTTATCATTTCAATTAAATTATAGTCCCCTTAAAATAATCTTATAATAAATTAATTAAATCATTAGCTTATTTTAAATGATTTGAAACCATTAATTTTTCGATTTTTTTAAACTTTTCTGTTCATTTTATAGTTCAACATGATGATTATCTATAAAGTATTTCAAACTTATTTATTATATTTCAATTATTAATTTTATTATTGATTTGAATTAGAGTGCACAGCATTTTACAAATGACTATTTTCATGTTGATATAATGGAGTTTTCATTAGTTGCAAGACGTTAAAATAATATACTTTTGCAGAACATTAAGACTATAGTTGTATCCATACATATTTTATTTATTTTAATATAAAAAATAAAAAAAAATAGACCTCACTAAGTTGATATAATAAATATTTGATATAACATTGACATTTTAAGATGTTATAAGAATAGCGATATTTATATTTACATAAAATTTTATACATTATTATTATTATTAAAAAATTTAACTATTTGTAATTAGTTGACTATTTATTTAATAAAAATAATTTACTTTAAATATTTACATATCAAAATAAAATAAATATATAGTATCCCAATTAAGATAATATAAAAATAAATAAAACAAATACTGGTCATTGGTCATTTGTCTTAAGTCAAACTAAATTCTGTAATAAAAATTAACAATTACTTTCAAATTGATTTTAATGAATAGCTATTATATAATTGACATGAACTAAACATAAAATTAGACTGAAAAAAGAGCTTAAAAAAATGCACTATACTTTTTTATTAAAATTTAATATACATACTTGTATAGTAAGTCCTGGAGATGACTGAGGGCTTGGTCTATTAGATTGCTGATTTCTATATGATCCTAATGAGTTCAAATTGTTGAGTTGGGAATTTCCAATGTTTAACTGAAATTACAGTAAATGTATGTAAATAAAAAGTATTTAAGTCTTGTAATGAAAACTTACATGTGAGGAATTTATTTCAGTTTGACCATCAGTTGAACATGACTGTTGAGTTTGTTGTTGTCTTGATGACAATGGAATAGTTTGGTACATTAATGTTTGGCTCATGTTTAAGTTATTCATTTGAACTGTTCCACAGTTCATATTTGAATTCTGTTCTAACATTCGCATTTCAATAGTACTATTGCAGTTCTCTCCTGAATTACCATTTCCTAGACTATTATCTACGTTAAATCCCTGCAATAAACAAATTGATACAAATATTATTTACCTATTATATCACATATTTAAAATTAAACAAGATTATTTTGTCTAACAAGCAGATACAGGTTTTAATATTTTAAGTTTATAAGCAAAACAAATTATTGAAATTAATGTTCATAAAAAAAAAGTAAATGCGTGCAACTAACCTTACATATGTGTTGAAACCTATCGTTCATTAAGTAAGGAACATTAAGGTGATTCTGCAATCATATCAATTTACTTAAAATAAATAATCAAACATCTAAATACTAAATATATAAAAAATAAATTTTAAAGCAAAATATATTTTTATTATATTATGTTATGGGTATAAAAATATACATATAAAAGCAATTTACTGAAAAAAAATGCAAAGTGGATAAAATACTGTGATCATAAATACCAAAACAAACAAGCAAGCAATAAGAACATTCAACAAAAATACTATTATTAAGTCTGAGAACAGTGACTCATTATATATGAAATATAAATTATAAATAATAGTTTTATCTAAATAACAAAAAATAAAAGAAATTTTTTTTTATAAATATTTGATAAGAATTATAATGCATCAAACGTGCATAATATATTTTTACTACAAGAAATACTTCAAGTCAACAACAAAACAGGAAAGATACATAATAAAATATAACAAACAAAACAATAAAAATCTATCTGATATGAAATTTCAGGAAGAAATTCTTAAACTCACTGGTAACACAATGTCACATGTGATCACAGTAGTTTGATTAGGAGAATCAGGTGGTGGTGAACTTGTAAACGAAAATCTTGTAGGTGGTGTACGGCTGTTAATTGATACTGGGGATAAGATACTTGGGCTCTGGCTTGGAGTACCTTGTGAGCCTTGAGAACCTTGTGGACTACAACCATCTGTTAGTGGACTCTGCTGAAACAACCATTTATCCTAAGCATACATACTACCGAGAAACTAATTTTTTCTTTAAGATAAGATTATTTTTTTTATTAATGTTGTTAGTAGCAAAAATGTTAATAGTTAGTAAAAATTATAAAGAATAATTTAATAATATTAATCTTACGTTGCTGTTGTAAGGTGATGATAAGTTATACTGTTCATCTTGATCAAGAGGGACATGGATTGGTGGAGAAAACTGAGTAAGTAAGTTAGTAAGGTCTGGTAGTGAACCAGTATTGTTGCCAATTGGTATTTGAACAACACCAGGTTCTTGTTGAGTGGTAAAAACGCTAGAAAAATCAAAGATTAGAATTTATTTAGTTTTTTAATATATTATTAACAGCTTACTTAATTCCAGGAACTCTGGGAACATCGCAACAAGATCTAGGTCTTTTATCAGGTGATGTTGACAAGTACCTATTTTTATCGTATTGTTGGTTATCAATTAAAGCTGAATAAAATATATTTAAAATAATTAGTAAATAATGAAACAAATAGAAATAGTTCAGATGCATACTTCTGCGTTGAGATCCAGGACTGTGTAAATGAGCTAATGATTCTGTAGAGCTGGTCTGTGAAACGCTATGATGTAAAGCAGAATCTGAATGAGTACGCCTCCAACTAGTATCAGATGGTGGAGGTGATAAGTAGGGACCACTTGAGTAAGGTGACTTATCCGCTGATCGTTTTTCAGAACGCATTGGACCCACTGAACCAACACTACGGCCACGCTCTCTATAACCAACTGATCGTCCACGAGCTAGCTGATTTTGATTGGGAACTACTTCTTCAGAACCATTAGTCACTGGCTGTAAGAATAACAATAGATTAAAATAATTTCTGGAAATGAAAGCAAGTTATTAGAGAAATAATATTAACAAATATCCTAGATTATTTTGCAGTTCTATAAAAAATGATTATGTAAGATTGCCATCAAGAATTTAATATATTTTACAGTGATCATAAAGTTATAATCAGAGAACAAGAATAAAGAGAAATTTTAATAATATTATTATTTATGATATTTAATGATTATATTTATCAGGTAAATTTTAAAAAACAATGATACCTATTCCGCTATATTTTATCTAATAATTAATATTATTGACATTGTAAATGATAATTAATGAACATAAAATATGTAAATTAACTATCAATAATTATTTTAATGATATTGACCATATTTTACTACTTGCAGTGGTAAGTAGATTACATAGGATAACATAAAATAATATATAAACAATAAATTGATCATGTTGTAATGAAGGTTTTATAACCACAAGTTCAGCGCTAACAAAAAGTTATTTTTCATAATTCATTATTTTGTTACATATTACAGTAATCGTCGACCGTTTTCTTTACGTACACGCTTTTTTCTTTGTATATAAAAAAAGTTGATTTTAATGAAATTAAATTTTTTGTCCCTTAAACCCAGAATAGCACATAATTTTGTTAATAATTGTTAAATAAAAAAAAAATTATTTTTTCTTTTCTTTTTGTGAACCGTTTTGATTCGAAAAATATATGGCCACCTTAAATATAATGTGAATCATAAATCCGTGTATACACATAATGTTGAACGTGTCTTAATGGTAAATACTTAGAATTATAAGCATGATGTGTATACATTGAGTAAATAATAAAACAAATTTTATTATTATAAAATAAACAAAATTATAGTTTTTAATATAATTCATAAGTTAAGATAATTTTATTTGGATAAAAGTACATTGGTCAGGGGCGTCATTTGGAGGATTCAGACTATACATTGGCAGCCCTATTTTTTTAAATGTTTGGTTGGTCCGTATAAAATGTTATAATTGCGCCGTCGTCGAAAAAATGTAAGATGCAAACGCGCTGTAATGGTGCGAGTTTTTCAAAAGAACTTATTGTCCTATTGAAGTATTGAAGAATTTTTTTAAGTTCCACTAAATAAACAGCATATATAAATTGCATGGTGGAGGGAACAATTGGCCTGATTCAAATGTTTGCATCCCTATTAAAAAGTTGAAATGACGCCCCTGACATAGGTAGTAGCTAGTTTACTAGTTAGTAGTTTAAAATTATAAATACTGTTTGTTAAATTTATTTAGGATAAAATTGTTAGAGGGATTTATCATAAATTTCATTTAATTATTGGTTATAGTCACATTGATATATTACACATCAATAGATCATACACAATATATTACGTAAATAAAACAAATTATTACAGCTATTCTTGTTTATCCTTATGTATTATCTTGTAATTTTCAGTATGTTATTACTCTTAGTTCTAATAATGGCTATGTAGGATCTAAATTCAGAGTTGAAAAAAAATACTAGCACGGAATAAGGATTATGTCAGGAACATGTATCTGTATGCAGCTGCATATTATTTTTCATATACATTTTATTCATCATTTTCATTCATAATCTTAATGATTATAGAAGTTTTTAACAAAGTGTTTTTATGTTATTAATAGTTATTTTTTACAAAATGATTTTTACGGCATTGGGGAGAGGGTTATCACCCCCAAAATCCTACTAAGCTTTTTAAAAATTATTGCAAAAGTATATAAAATTTGGAGTTTCATACATACTTTTAAAAAGATAATTACCGTATCCCCCTAAGCTTCTTCAATGGATTTCTGTCCATAATTATACCCTAAAAATAGATGGGTTTAAAAAATTCTAACATAGAAAAATAATTTTATAATCAGATAGTTAATTAAAATATTATAAGATACGTCATGAATAATGGTGGCGAAGCCTTGAGTTTTAAGCAATAATTCAGTGGTTTATCATTATTAGTTATTGCTATATAAACTATTATTATTTAATCATACAACTTATAAATTATAACAAATATATCAGTAATATGATAATGATAACTATGATGTTACATAAAATAGGTAATATGAGTAAAAAAAAACAGTTAAATTTATAACAAGTAATTTTAAGCTATCGAAATATTGCTATTCTTAAAGGCAATGTTTATATGTATTAACAAATTTCTAAAACTATTTATGATTATTTAATATTATCATGACACAATACAAGTGTAAAAATATCTGACAATTAATAAAAATTAAATTAAAAAAGTATTTTACAATGAGGTGTTTCGAATTCCCAATCCTTTTTTATGAATGAAATTTAATTGCGACGGAAAAACGAATAATATAATATTGAAATATCATGTAGGTACAAGAAATTAATTATTTTGATATGTACATTTTATGTTATCAATACAATGTTTATTGTTTTATTTTGGATTATCTGGAATACATATTTAACATATTTCAAATAAAAAAGTTTATATAACATAAATACTGCGATAATACCGGAGTATTATGTAGAAGCAGAGTTAGATTTGGAAAAAAATTTAAAGTGGGACACAAACACAAAATAAGAATAAAGTGTTTTTCTGTCATGATGATATCGTTCTTAGCATTTCTATGTAGAAAAATAAAAAGGTGCATTGATTTTTTTTTTTTTTTTTAAATGGGTACCTATTTCACATTTAAGCCAAAATCAGTATTTAGGTAACAGTAATATTAAAATTAACTATTTATTTATATATTTCGATAAATGTTTGTATTCAGGGATGGGAACCATTTACTTTCTCAAAGGACCCAAATATGTGACATCAGAAAATAGCATGCGCGTATCTGCACGAAAACATACACTATGCTTCTTATATAGTTGTATGCTCATCTCAAAACGAAATTTCAGGCGTAAACTGCTGAATTATATGTTAATATTGTTTTTTATTTACGAGTAACGCGTAATTTGGTAATCGTGTTAAAAACTAAAAACGGTGGCAGCGAGGCAAAAAAAAAAACCATTTGGTGATTGTATTGCGATTATGTTAATAAAATATTTTTGTGCTCTACAGTTTCGTTGGCGGCGGGTAAAATCGTTGTGGCGGGAGGACGGCCGACGGCGGCAGGCTTCGCGTACGTCGTCCCTTGCGATATTGATTGTGTAGGCAAGCACAGTTGCGTTCTATGTGGACGCGTGATTACAAGTAGGTCATCCGCCGCTGCCGCCGCGATTACTTAACAGACCTGTGTGATGCGTGCGCGCGCTTTCCGTCGGCCGCAGCTAGCCAGCCAGCCAGCTAGTAGCACGCAATGCGAATACCAGATCGCGGAAAATGCACCGGCGGCGGCATTCCGGAAGTAGGGCAACGCGGGCCACGTGCCTCCACGTGAAACGGCCAAGACGAGAGAGAAAAATATAAGCCGTCACTTCGGGCCACTAACATTTTTCGTCATCCTCTAACGCGCCTGCTGTTAACTTCCTTCGAGGAGGGGAATACTAAATAAACCGTCACAACATGAATGATATACCACATCGCGGCAGTACGTAAAAACGTAAATACGGATGTATGACAAGTGTTGTTGTTGATATAAAAAATGTGTAGGACCTTTATAATATGCGCGTGTCCCGAACGAATATAATCATCACGCATAAAAATCACAGCGCATGTAATTAACATATTTATTTTTGTTTAAATTTTACAGCACTAGCACATCATTTTGTATTAGCAAATAGGCGTGAGCGCTCGTACACTTAACGATGGTCGAAGTGGTTTAAAAAAAGCGATTAAGCATTTTTGGATAAGTACTTACACAAGAAGTAAAATTCAATTATGTATTGAAAATTTTCATATTTTAATATATTTTTGACCCATATCAATAAGAAAATATATATAAATATAAATCCCTCAAAACGTAGCACTAAACTTTGATAAGGTTCAGTATAAAAGTGATGATAAGTTATATCATTTAATTTACAAATAATAAATTAGATTTTAAAAGTAAAAAGGTAATACAGGGATATTGTATCATATATGATCTATACTTACGTAAATTTAAAAAAAGGTACCCTTTAACAGTTACTTTTTTCAGGTATCATATACTGAAAATCATTATAAAAGTATTAGTTCAAACACTATCAAAATATAATATAATTAATATAGGCGTAACTAGATCTAACATTTTTGGAATGGGGCTGTAGGTACCAAGATAACACAGACTTTCAGGGGTTAAGCCTCCCAACCTCATCTACTAATTTACATACAGACAAAATTTGTCACTTCTTAATCTTTTAGCATAATGAAAAAACGCAATTTTGTGAACCAAAGTTTGATTTTGGATATTCCTAAGTAAAACGAAAGTCATGAAACAAAAAAAAAAAAAAAAGTCAATACACTAAATAACAAGAATTTTCAAAACTAATAATTATTTCATATAATGAGATTATAGACATAAATTTAGAGTTAAACGTAAATTAGACTTCTATTTTTATCTCAAACACAAATTTCTAAAAATTAATTTCTTTAATCTGAGCCACAGAATGATGGGTTAATTATAATCAAATTAGGAAATTAAAATTATTAATAATAATAAAGGAAAGACCTTTGTTGTTTAAATTATTCATAATTATTTCATAAAACATTTTTTAATATTAATAAATGATCATTATAACTTATAATATAATATAGTAAAATCCTGAAGATGAAAATTATATTAATTATACAATTTTATTAGTAATCTACATACAAAATAGACATATTTCTTTAACTAATGTTTTACACTATTTAAAAAAAAAAAATAAATATATTTTTTACTGCCTGAATTCTGTTTTATAATTTAAATTACACAATATGTATAGAACTTAATAAATGTTTAAAAATGTGATTACAGTGACTACATAAAATAAACAGTTTATAATTTCACAGAATTAATAAAGTAAGTAGAAGTTTAAGTAAAAGGTAGATTATTTGAATAAAAATAAATATATTTGAATTCACTCTGATCAT